CTTTCTTTATGTAAATCTGTTTTGTTTTGTTTTTAATGAAGGCGAAACTTTATCAACAGACTGCATACCATTAAGCTCTTGATCAAACTCTGGATGTTGGATCTTTTGCAAGTTACCCACACCAGGGCAATATGGTTATGCACACTTACCAGCCAGCTTTTTCTCTTTCCACCACTTTCAGAAGGGCTTTTTAGGTGAGCCATACAGGAGGTTTCACATTGGAGTTGTGAGATGTGCTCACATCTAGGAACCAAGCTACATATTTAATTTAATGTAATAATCATTTTATTTCAAGACAAAAAAATCTTCTTTTTCATTTCAGAAAATTTTACAGACAGCAGTGATGTGTTTTTTTTTTTCAGTCCTTCAGTCCCATCTCATTTAATGGTTGTGTTCAGCTTTTCTAATAGATTTTGTAATACTTCTCTCCTTCTGCTTCTTATTTAAGATAGTATTTCCTGCTCTGGACTCTTTGTTTCTGTTTCAGACAGAACAAGTTCGGCATAATATATCCTATATTCTCTCTGTTATTTATAATATGCAGAGGATATTTTTCCCCAACAATGTTTTTTCTAACAAAGCCAAAAACTGCTTTAGTGGAGAGAAAAAAAATCTAAGACCCAATTTTTAAGAATGAGTTTCTTATTTAGTTATTATTCATAGTATTTTTATTATTGCACAAGGACAGATTAATCAGAATCAGACATACTTTAATAATCCTAGAGGGAAATTACAATAATCCCAGAGGGATGTGTTTATGGTGATATGATAACATATGGTCTCTGCTTTGTCTGAACTGAATTAAATTTGTCAATCGGGACGTTTTCTTCCTGTTTGTCTCTTTCTGAGGATTAATTTTCAAGATAGGGATTATTTAAGCTGTATCATAAAGCCTTACTTAACCAGTTTACTGTTTTTTGTTGTTGTTTTTTGTTACAAATCTAACATTTACATCAATCAGTCTTAAGTCTGAGGAATAAATTATGTCAGTCTTTAACCAGCATCTACATTATTGGTTTTTGAATGTTTGCTTATTTCCTTTAAAAGTTGAACACATTTTTCCCTCATTGATGGTATCTATAAATACATCTTGGAGTAGATCATGTAGCAACAGCATCAACAGAGATCAGACATTGATTCATTTCTAAGGGGCTGACAGATCTGCCTTAGAGCCTCTTCTAGTGAGACATGTTTGAATCCCTTTCCTCAGAAAGTATTCAAAGGACTCCCTGAGATGTCCAGCCTCCTCAACTGGCTCCTTTTGATATTAAGGAGCAGGAAATCTGGCTGTTTCCTTTATATTATTGATACAGTTTATCTGACAGATCAGTGGTTCGTATGTAAATTAAAGGTTTCCAATTTAGTCTCAGTCCAGTCTTCATTCCCACTGACCTGTAATCATTTTTTTTAATAATAGTAACAACTGATCTGAAATTACCAGAATTTAGTCACAAAGTGTTTGTTTTTTGCAGTGCATGTATTGTCTGTGCAGATGTGGCAGCTTACTCATGGAAGAAATGAGCACATCTGTTTGAGCTACAGTACATATGTTATGCCAGTTGAGGTGTTTTGATTCAGTTGCAAAGAGAAATTATGTTTGGATTATTGGAATTAAGGTTTGGTGTTTAGTTAATGTGGAAGCATTAAAGGTTAATTTAAAATTATCCTCTTTTAAAAAGCTTGACAGATTCATATTGTTTAGTTGTTTGTTTTTTTCTTTCTTTATCATGAATTTAGTAAAGCATTGTAGCTCGGCATGGAATAATAGAAATGTTTGGAGGATCTGTGCATTTTAGGTTAGCTTGCAACTTTTCCATGCAAGTTGTGTAAGTTGGTGTTGCTGTTCCTTCTCATTGTTCCTTCGTTTTCTTTTGTCGTGACTGTCGTGAGTCACAAAGCCGGACTGCATGCTCTGTGCCTCTGCTTCCTTAAGCACCACCATTATCTCTTTGTGCCACCCCTGCCTCCCTGGGATTCTCAGATCGCCAGGAACAAGTCAAAAATAAAAACAAAAGCTCTAAGGATGATTCTGTTTTCGTGTCTTTAAACAATATTTTAATTCCAGGTTTTTGTTCAACTCTGGTTTGATTTTCATGCACAGAAACACAGCCATCAAGTGCACGGTTTGCAGCTTACTTTCCTATGGGGCAAAAAGAAGGGAGACATCAAATATAGTCTTCAATGCTCACATAATCAAATGCACCATTTTGGAAATCTTTGAAGGTGTCATGATGGGTTCACTAAAAGCGACCTAAGAATGCAGAACACCACTGACGGTCAGGGGAATAAAAGTTTAACAAGTTTATTTATATGCAAGCACACAGAATGTACTGGTTCAGGTTCGGGCCTGGACACTGGTTCACCGGAGTCTGCGTGAGAGGCAGTTCAGTTAGCGTTGCAAGCTGGAGCTTGATTTCTTGAAGAGAACTGATAGTACCTTGAGGGTTCTTGAGGTTAGCTTTGGGAGAGTCACTGTTGGATCTGGAGAGGAGTTCACCAGCAGAGTCCGCTTGCTGCTTCAGCGTCTCATGTCTTATAATGAACAGACCTTGGCTTTGGGTTTTCCAGCTCTTAGTCCTGAGCTGCATGGAGGTTCTCTATGATTCTTCAGGTTTGGCTCAGAGGGTCGGCTCGGCAGGTTAGCTCTTCCTGAGCTTCTCAGAGGAGACACTGGTTTCCTGGAAGACAGAGACAACGGTTAGAATCCAGGCTGGATTCAAAGTCACGAAGTTACACTGAGGATCTAGGCTTAGGCGCTGACCAACTGGATCAACACTGCGGCGTTGAGGCAAGGTCTGAAGACAGCTTAAGTAGTGGATCCTCTGATGATCTTGATGGGCTGCAGCTGTGCAGGAGGCTCCCTCAGGAGGATCCACGGCGGACTCTGCTGGAGAAAGGTGGAATTTCTCCAGCTCCCAACAGAAGGATCTTTTCCATATTTAGTTTTTAATCAGCTAACTTCAGTGAGAGTGGATCCAGGTTTCAAACCGTCATCAGATAAAACCCAATGTGGTTTCCTCAATCTGTTATCCAAGTCGTGACTCCTTCTATGGCAGATAATGCTTCCTGCAAACTGCAGGTTGCTTTTTTCCCATGTCATGTAGATACATTTGTGTAGCCAATGCTTGTGCAGGAAAAGGGATAAAAATAAGCATTGGGGATATCACTACTGGCCCTATTTCAGCTGAGAGAGCTGCTCTGCCTTTTTTCATAGAGTTAGAGGATTCTGGAACTCCCCTTCTCTTGGTTTTTTTAAATACAGATTCAGCTACTCAACTGTTTTCAAGAGACAGGCAATCGAAGAACTGTGTGTAAAAAACAAATGCAATAACAGTCCAACAATAATGCACATTAGTTAAATATAACGGCACTTAGGCAGCTGGTTAAGGTGCATCAGAAGATCATCATTCATCTGTTTAAATTACAACAGGGATATAAACTAGGCCAAAACATAGCAAGAACAATACTTAATAGATTTTTCAAAAAGGAGTAGGCAGGTGAAAAGATTTATTAATCCCCACTGATATTTGATACATATACATTCCAAAATCATTTACATCTCAATATGAATTTACACTAAAAGATGCATTAGAATAACTGCCAACGATTGGTTCCCATGTGACAGAAAATAACAAGGACCAAATATAAAAAAAACAACCATCCTCAGCTATGAATATCCCAAGTCATATCTTTTTTTTAAAAATCTATTTATATTTTGCGAAGTGATGCATCCACATTCACAAATTGAAAAACACAAGGTCATTTTGTCAGTACAAGAAGAAGAATTTTTGTTGTTTTTACATTATTACTGCAAATATTGAAGTGTTTGTCTGTCTGGGTACAGAATAACTATAAAAGTTAATAACAGATTTTAAAGAAAGTTTTATCAGAGGTGTCCCCCTGTTAATCAGGATACAGGATCCTTTTTTAAAGAGTCTCTAACATTGTGAGAATGGGGCTTATTCGGGAACTGCTTGTTCTACCAAGCCTCCGTATCGGACTCAAAAAGGCATGACATATTTTATTAAAGACATAAACACAAGAAAAGGGAATGTTGTTTGATAGCAGGATCAATTGAAACCCTCTGGATGCATTTCATGTAAAATTTGGTAATGTTTCAGTTCATGTGCCAGTTTTAGCTATAGGTGAAAATCACAATTTGGGGCAAAATTTGCTGTTCACGTGTTTTTCTAGGTTTGTCTCTAAAATTATAACCACCTCTTCTGAAACACTTTTTCAGATATTGCCTTGAAGAAAAGGGTTCCTTTCCCTAAACATAATTATTGGCCTTTTGTATTTAACTCAATCAGCCAATGTCAATGTTTGTGACCCTAAACAAAATGACCTATTCTGGTCCCTCTTTTCTAGGTCATTTAAACTCCAGATGGAGTTTAAAAAGAGGTGTCAAGTAAGGTACAAATACTTTGTTAAAGTAGAAATTTCGTGCTTTACCGGAGTAATTATTTTTTACAGAATTTTTACTTCTACTCCTCACATATTTTGTTTAGCAATTATCTCTACTTTTTACTACTTTCATTTTAAAAATAGAATCATTAGTTTGTTTTCATTTAAGCTGATTTTGGTTATGGCCTGTTGGTAATTAGAATAAGTAAAAACCATCAACATAATTTGTTTTATCCAGACTATGAATTTCTTTGCAGTTGGACTCGGTAATGTACAAACTTGTTGTTCACTACATACCGAAATAAAGAGTTTGTAAAGATGATGCAAAGTTAAATTTAACACTGTTACCATTAGTTATAAAATTACGAAAATCAAGTTTAAGAATTGCAGAAAGATGTTCCTTAAAGGGTAGAGCAATAAAGCACCTATCCTTAACATTTTTGTCCTGCATTACTTTTACTTTTATACTTTAAGTAGTTTTACTTTTACTTTTTATTTATGTTTCAAAGACTCGATGTAGATTCTGTTTTTGCAATCCTGCAACATTTTTCTGTAAGAATCATTGAATGTGATTGGTCTGTTCTTTCCCCCAACAGCGGGATCGTTTTGTAAAGCTCCTGGATCAGCTGCACAACTCCTTAAGAATCGACCTCTCTATGTACAGAGTGAGTGGAAGCTTTCAGCTCATTATGAAAATGTGAAATTTTGATGTAATACAGAGAGCCAATTTTACAGATGATACTGGGGGAGAGTTCATTGATTTTAAATAATCTGTATAAAAGGTATTATTTTCTTCCTCTGTCTCTGGCGGTTTCTTATTGTCTTCAAAAGGAACATAAATGAAAATGTACACTTTAATGTATCCTCAGAGAGAGTTATTGTGTAACATTTAATTGCAATTGTGTTACCTCTTGCCTATTAATTTAGGTCAGTTTGAAGTTTTTAAACCTTTTTTTTCTCCTTGTTTGTCCATGTCTGCGTGCAGAATAACTTCCCAGCCAGCAACAAGGCCCGTCTCAATGACCTGAAATCAACCGTAGATCTTCTTACCAGCATCACCTTCTTCCGGATGAAGGTGAATAAACGAATTATTATGCTTTCATTTAAATACCTGCCAGGTAGTTGATATACTCTGAAAACTGTGAAAAAATGAAATAAAATTCATTGTCTAAAGTCACAAGGCATGATAAAGTATTTTACATTTTTTACATCATCTAAACTTTATCGTTTTTATGTTAAGTTTTAATTTTTAGCTCTGAATACTATTTTCACTAAAAATTCATTTTTCAGCTCTTCAGGTTATTTTGCAGCACTTTCTTGCAATGTTTTTCAGGGTATCCTTATAGTTTAGTAACAGCATTTTTGATTACTTTATTAACATGCTGTCCATTCTGTATCAGCTGGCCGGACATTTCCTGGTTGGTTTTGTTTACTGCTCCCTGTCCTCCCACTCACTGTCTGCTCACATTCAGGTGTTGGAGCTGCCGAGTCCGCCCAGAGCAGCCAACGTGGTGCGGGATTGTGTCAAAGCCTGTCTGAACTCCACCTATGAGTACATCTTCAACAACTGTTTAGATCTCTTTAATCGCCAGTTTCAACCTGCAATTCAGGAGGTAAGTTTTGAAGTTTCTACAGTTCATAAAAGGTTGTTAAGAAAATAACCTATTTAGTCAGATCAAATAAAAAACATAAACTTTTCAGCTGACCAATCATATGTCATGAAACGAGGACAGATGGACCCAGTATTGCAGTCCCAGAGGTTATGCTGGAAGCTGATCCTGGTGAGGGATCCAGAACAGACAGAAACAGGCAGGATCCAGATCAGGCAGGAACAGAGACAGGTGGCAGGATCCAGACTTCCAGGCATGCACAGGCTTCCAGGAGGGTTCAGAGTCTGACTGGGACCAGAAGCATGACCAGGTGGTTAAGCACAGGAGCAGACAGGATCAGGTGCAGACAGGCAGGCACAGTGGAAGAGGGTAGCCGAGACAGGACGTAGGAACCGGAACTTGAAGCATGACTTTAAACTGGTCTCCTCCCTGGAGCCAGGCTTACTTTGATAAAAACTGAACCTCCCCCCATAATGAGCCAAAAACCCAGAGGACTCCACAGGGGAGGAACAGTGGACAGTCAGGAGACAAGACAAACACTAAAACCCTCTATCCACTGGCTGTTAGGATCCAGGACATGAACCAAAGGAAATAAAATTAACAGAACAGGCTGACAGAAAGACAGGTAATGATCTGGCACTGAATGCTCAGGCTGAACTGAATATAAACTAGAGGACACAGGTGAGAGGAATAAATTCTAATTGAGGCAGGGAGGGAAAAACAACAGGTGAAAGGAATGACTAATTAAGGGAGAGCAAACAGGCCAGATCATGACATCATATCAACATAATACAATAGCTGACCCAGATCGTTGTTTGGAGGACCAGAGCTGTCAAAATGAAAATACATACTGTAAAAAAAAATCAGTAAGAATAATATTTTTAAACACAATAAATTAATCTAAGTTGAACCGACTAAAAAAGGAGTTACTTTTTATTTTAGCTTTTCTTTTTATTATTTATGCTCATTTTTATTAACTGTAGTTTCCAGATTAATTTTAAACAGTTTAGTAAATTGATTATTCTAAATTTTGTTTTCAGCCTTTCTATTCATTTAAGTCATTTTGTTATTGTGGTATAAAATGTAATGCTTGTTATGGTTATTTTGAATATTGAAGATTAATATTACAACATTAAAATAACAATCTGATAGCATCAGTAGCATTGTTATTAGTATTTCTAGTAATTATTACATAATGGATCATGCTCAAATTCCTAATAACAATAAAAATTACTTCTCTTATCATTACCATTACCATTTTGCATTATTATAAATAATAATTCATGTAAGATAACCATATATCATTTTTGATTGCAATCACATGTATTAGTATTTCAGAAAATGAACAAAAATTAAAAATAATTGTATGTCAATTGATCATTTATAGTTGTTTTTCTCTACCTTTGAGATTGAATGGGGAGGAAATAGAGACAACTGCTGCAATAGCATCTAATCCTGTCTTTAATTTGTTATTTTGGTTCCATCTTCTATACTCAGTTTAATACTACAGACAAAATAAAAAAACTTATATGATCCTCAAAGGTTTTTAAAATGTTTCTGATGTATTTTAGTGTTCCTAAAGCTAAGAAAGGAACATTATTTGAAGATGTGTTCCAAACTGATTCTCACTGACAGCACATGCTGCACAAAGTAATGGACTAATAAGAGTCACCATCAGCATCTTTGAATATTTTATTACTGTGCTTTGAAAGATTTGCCTATTAATGTGTGGGATGATGTTTTATTGTCTCCTTTTTTTGTATAAACTACCCACAATTCTCATATCTTCAATATTGATCTTAAAGTCTTGTTTAAGCTTATTTATGAGCTTTTTAAAGTTTTTTTGTGTATTTATTTTGTATTTAGTGTTTGATGCAGATGCTTCTTTGTGAAAAATGACGTATTCATGAGAGCTTTTTTTTTCCCCCAGTCAGTTTCTAAGAGATGCGACACATCAGAACAGAATTCTTTCATTGCCTTTTTTTATTTTGTCTCTTTACTCCATAACAGCCTGAGCAGGAAAAGAAGAAGATAAAGAAAAAGAAAGAAAAAGCTGAGGGAGAAGGAGATGATAGTGAAGAAGAAGAGGAAGAGGAAGAGGAGGAGGAAGAGGAGAAGAAAGAAGAGAGTCAGCCAGAAGAACAAGGCCCGAGCATCCAGAATCTGGACTTTTGGCCTAAACTCATCACGCTTATTGTGTCCATCATCGAGGAAGACAAGAACTCATATACGCCCATCATTAACCAGTACTGAACTCTGAAATTTATTTTAAGATATTTATGCAGTTTTATTAATATGATTTTGGGCATTTAGATTCAATTGCAAGTCCTTTAACGTAAAAATAAGTTTTATTATTACTTTTCCTTTAAAATATGGATTGATAACCAAAGATGGTAATCACAAACAACAGGTTTTGGAGCACACCTGTATAGTTATTTTTTAAGATTTTCCAAGAGAGTAGGTTGATGAACCTGCAAAGACCATTTGTCAAAACATTGAATTATTTGTTTTGACTTCAGCTTTCAGGTACTAATTTAGAAAAGTTAATGCAAGCAAATTGTACTTTTTTCACATATAAATAAATACACACATATTACTCCCAAAATCGTCGTTTTCTAGTCCAGAAAATTTATTAAACTCCAACATATGATTTTATTTTAAATTTCTAACTGTAGTTTCATTTTTGAAACTTAATGTCTGCAGTAATATTTTGTTAAATTTATCATTAGAAAAGTGGTTCAGTAAAGCAGCAAAAAGGAAGGTGCAGATAATCATCCATCCATTTGTGAGATGTGGGGTTTAAGCTTTTTTCAATGGAGACTTTATGAAAATCATAGATATCTCCAACCAATACAGTAATCCTTAGGTAAAGCAGAAACTTTGTGAACAATAGAACTCTAGCTGAAAATATGACCACTAAAACCTTTGTCCCATAATTGCATATTTTGTATTTCAGTGAAGTAGGAAATATGTCACAGGAAGTAAATATTTGCTGCTTATGGGCTTAATGTACATTTGACTGAGCATGTATGGTCTAACTATATGACTCAGTATAATGGGAGTGATTTTTCCTGATACTTTAGTGCAACTTAGAGTCCATGGTTAAAGAATTTTACGCTTCATACATTGTGGGATTGGTTAATTTTTTTATGTCTTTTAAAATCTACAGATTATTCTACAGAGTTTAATTGTAGAACTTTTATATCCATAGCTAAAAGAATTGTCATAAGTTTCCATCTCTTATGGTAACTCTTGGCAGACTTTATGAGGCTGTTGTTTTGTGAATATCGATATCAGGATTGTGTTGTATCAACTAAACCTAAGAAATAATTTGTGATATAATTTTGGTCATATTGTGCAGTCCTAGTGCAGCATGAGCTTCTCACCCCATCTATACTGAGTATGTGTAGAGGCGGTATAAGTGCAAACCTAATATTGGAGCAATAGCTGCATCATTTATGTTATGCTAAGCTGCCTGCACTGACAATGATACACTCACTTCCACATTCTGAAGTCTTAAAACTGGTGTGTTGCTCCATTTTCTTTAATAATGTAAAATGACTCACATTCTAATATTAGGGGAACTTGTCAGGGCTAAAATATAAGGACTTAATAAATAAACAAAACAATGAAGTGATAGGAAAGTACCCTGTCCTGGTCAGTGGAACCCTGAATTCCCTAAGAGTTATTCTAGTACAAACGCAAAATGAAGCCACAAAAACTGAAAGAAACACTGAAGACTCAAAAGGACTTAAAGTTCCACAAATCAATTGTCATTCCTCATATGCTTGCATGCATGATGAGATAAACAGCTTATGCTTCTCCTTTCTGACCAATTTTAGGTTTCCTCAGGAACTCAATGTCGGTAAAGTCAGCGCTGAGGTGATGTGGAATCTCTTCGCTCAGGACATGAAATATGCACTGGAGGGTAAGTACATGTTTCTCTACACTGTGTACTTCTAAGTGTGAGTGTGTGCGCTTCACAACTCCAACCTCTAAATCCACACCATCAACTCTCATCCCACTCTTATCCATCATCTTCTTCAGTTTTGGATAAAATTGACCACTATCACTGGAACAACGGTGAGATAGAGGAAGTAACACAATGTGGATGTTAGGATAGAATAGCTGTGAGAGTCATCAATGGGACAATAAGTGTTGTGTCGTATTATTAAAGCAGGTCTATCATTGCTGTTACAGTATCCACTGAGGCTTAAGGGAATATGCAGCAGCTTCATACTGTTATATAATTAATTTGTTAAGATATTTGATATGATCTAAATACTGATATTTCTAGATGAAAATCAAACTTTAGAATATATATTTTTTATATTGCAGCAACATATATATATATATATATATATATAGTCCTCCTTCTTTGTGGATATGAATATCTTGCTGTGTAACTACATTAAGGCTTGTAGAAACAATCATGTTCTGTCCTGGTGGTCTAGATGCCTGTAATATTTTGTGTCATAAAATATTAGATCCTTCAAATTGTTATTAAATAGGTAGAGTGAATTGTTTAGTGCACCTTGAAATGTGGGTTTTTCTCCTCTCAAATCTTTCCCTGTCTGTGTATCAGACTTTCATCTTGCTTTGTCTGAACTCTCATTGTTTCATTCATTGTTCTGTTGCCATCTCAGCTCCCGCCACATTTTGCATCCGCAGAGTTGATTTTTATGCTGGTAAGACGTTGTCTGTGTGTAGGCGTGTTTTTCTATTAGTTTATATGCCCTTTAAGGACTTTCTTTAGCATTTTGACCAGCCTTCTGAAGAAGGACGGTCTTATGGGGAAACTTTAGGTTTAGGGTTGGGGGAAAGGTGTGATTATTGGGTCAGCAATATAATAGTAATAGTTAGGGTAGGTCTTGCTGTTAGGCATAAATGCTATTACTACAATTTAAGGCTGAATCTTTGCTTTTTTGTGAAGCTTAAATATTTCAGATAATCCCAACATATCAGTCAGATCCAGACTTTTCCTTCAGGGTTTCTTCTAGAGAGCAGCATGCAAAACAGGCCTTGAATTGAATAATATGAAAAAATAGATTTAATTAACCACCAATATACTTAGCAACATTGTTTTTTCTCTGCAGTTTCAAAAGCAAGCTGCTGTTTTTCTATTTTCTTGCTGAAGAAGCACCAAAAATAATTTTAATTAAGTCTACAAGTCTTGAATTTCTTAAATGAGTCTTGGATTTTTTTAGGAAAATTTTCACTGTTCAATGTGTATATATTTTTTTTTATTTTCACAGAGCATGAGAAGCATAAGCTGTGTAAATCTGCTGACTACATGAACCTACACTTTAAAGTCAAATGGCTTTACAACGAATACGTGAAGGAGCTGCCCGCGTTCACAGATGCTGTACCTGAATACCCTGCGTAAGACAATCATTCTTCTTTCCCTCATTTGTTTCTTTCAAATAGAACCTCCACCCCACGGATTTTTGATCAATATTTTAATGTTCCTGTGATGTGCTGTATATTGAGCCGCAGAGTTATGCATCTGTTAGCTCTTTTGCCTTGTTGGAAGATGATCCTGCGTTTGAATTGATCTTAGTTGTGGGCATGTATGTTTTTGCTTTCTGTGTATGTTAGTCAGTGGTGGTTAAAAGCCCATCCCAAAGGAACAAAAGGACAGATTGGGTATTTCACATTAATCAGTGGACCAATAGGTAACTGTTGTGTTTGAGAATTTCCTTTTTAACTTAAAAAAGCTTCTGTTTGGAGGAAAATATTATAATAAAATAATGATTTGTTTCTTAGACTTGATCATACATTTCCTGTTGAATTGCAGGTTTTAAAAAGATCATTGTCACCCCAATTTAAAACAAGGCAGCTTACTATAATTCGTCCCTTTTTAATTAATATCTTCTACACCTCTATTAAAATCCTTATTAAAAGCTAAAACAAAAACCAGCGGAACAGCTACGAAATGCCTTGAGCCAGTTATCTTGATACTAACACCCACCTGACTGGATGAAGAATATGGCATCAAGGGATTTAGCCAGGAGCTGCTGTTTGGTGTAGCGGCAAAGAAGAACAGAAATGGAGGCTATTTGTTCTTCAGGGTAGCTGTCCCAGGTTTCCACTTTCAATCACTTCCTCTCATGGATTCTCCACCCTTCTCTAATGCTACTTGCAGAGTTGTCAGGCCTGCAGTCCGTACCATATATTAATCAATATTATGTACAGTGAGAGCTACTGGGAGCCAATCCAACTGAAAAAGATAATTTGCATGAGGAGCCTGAATGCATCTCACATTAAATATGATATAGGTGTAATACACTCTATGAAAGCAATGTTCTAATGTTGCAGTGAGGTTTGTTATTTGATATACACTCACCGGCCACTTAATTAGGTACCCCATGCTAGTAACGGGTTGGACCCCCTTTTGCCTTCAGAACTGCCTCAATTCTTCGTGGCATAGATTCAACAAGGTGCTGGAAGCATTCCTCAGGGAGTTTGGTCCATATTGACATGATGGCATCACACAGTTGCCGCAGATTTGTCGGCTGCACATCCATGATGCGAATCTCCCGTTCCACCACATCCCAAAGATGCTCTATTGGATTGAGATCTGGTGACTGTGGAGGCCATTTGAGTACAGTGAACTCATTGTCATGTTCAAGAAACCAGTCTGAGATGATTCCAGCTTTATGACATGGCGCATTATCCTGCTGAAAGTAGCCATCAGAAGTTGGGTACATTGTGGTCATAAAGGGATGGACATGGTCAGCAACAATACTCAGGTAGGCTGTGGCGTTGCAACGATGCTCAATTGGTACCAAGGGGCCCAAAGAGTGCCAAGAAAATATTCCCCACACCATGACACCACCACCACCAGCCTGAACCGTTGATACAAGGCAGGATGGATCCATGCTTTCATGTTGTAGACGCCAAATTCTGACCCTACCATCCGAATGTCGCAGCAGAAATCGAGACTCATCAGACCAGGCAATGTTTTTCCAATCTTCTATTGTCCAATTTCGATGAGCTTGTGCAAATTGTAGCCTCACTTTCCTGTTCTTAGCTGAAAGGAGTGGCACCCGGTGTGGTCTTCTGCTGCTGTAGCCGATCTGCCTCAAAGTTCGACGTACTGTGCGTTCAGAGATGCTCTTCTATCCACCTTGGTTGTAACGGGTGGTTATTTGAGTCACTGTTGCCCTTCTATCAGCTCGAACCAGTCTGGCCATTCTCCTCTGACCTCTGGCATCAACAAGGCATTTCCGCCCACAGAACTGCCGCTCACTGGATGTTTTTTCTTTTTCGGTCCATTCTCTGTAAACCCTAGAGATGGTTGTGAGTGAAAATCCCAGTAGATCAGCAGTTTCTGAAATACTCAGCCCAGCTCTTCTGGCACCAACAATCATGCCACGTTCAAAGTCACTCAAATCACCTTTCTTCCCCATACTGATGCTCGGGTGGAACTGCAGGAGATTGTCTTGACCATGTCTACATGCCTAAATGCACTGAGTTGCCGCCATGTGATTGGCTGCTTAGAAATTAAGTGTTAACGAGCAGTTGGACAGGTGTACCTAATAAAGTGGCCGGTGAGTGTAGAATGCAGCTCTAGCTAAAACTGTTGGTAGAGATCCAAAAACCTGGCATTAGAGAAGCTGTACTGGTTGATTATGCAAATATTAGACAATAAAACAACATTAAAACAGCAAGAACTGCTGTATTTCTGGGTAACGTGCATGTGTGCTGTTATCCTGAGGGTTCTATGCAAGGACTAACTCATGTAGTATTAGATATTTAATTGTCCAGGGGATTGTAAGGTGCAACTGCTCCTAGTGAGCTCCTTAGAGTCACAAACACCAGCAGTAAAAACCTCTTAAGTCAAACTGTAGCGGCATCATGATTTTCCTCAAATGGAGGAAGCTTTTTCCAATTTACTGTGATCCACCTTCCTACAAAAGTTTGGGAAGATCCTCCAGAATATCCCTAACAACAAATGTGGTGTTTCGTTCTTTCTGACATCGTCCTTGTTGTTGCAGGTGGTTCCTCCAGTTTGTTCTGGCCTGGCTGGCTGAGAATGAGGAGGTGTCGATGGACTTCATGTCCGGAGCTCTGGAGAGAGACAAGAGGGAAGGGGTGAGTTTTTATGTGACCACAAAGAAGAAGAACTCCACTCTAATTTAACAAGAACTACTAAAAAAACGCTCAACACTGTAAAGTTTAAATGCTCAAATTATCTCAAAACCTGTTTGTTAAAAAAAAAGCTAATTTTTCTTTATTCCCTGAAAACATCCTGTATCCTCAAACAGCAATTATCCAACAGAATAAAGGAAAACTAAACTCAGCAGCAGCAGAACAGAAGCTTTTTTACAACAGGGTGATTTACAGCCACTGTTTCATGACCTGGAGTTCACACAGTCTCTCCTGGATCGGTTTTATTGATTCTGGTTCAGCCGGCTCTTCTTTTGGCCAATTTTACAGAATGATGGACAGGTGTTGTCTGTTGAACTCCTTCTGCTCCCAAAGCTGCACTTTATTTTTAGTAAATCAGGATGACCTTTCTTCTGTTTGCATTGTGAAGCTCTGCTGGAGTTCAATCTGACCAAACAGGCCTAATGCTAAACCTTTCAGGTTTGGATCACGTCATGCCCTCCCGAAAAGGAAAATGCTTAATTCCAGTTAAGCTGTTCATTTATCCTGTCCATTATCTTTTTTGACCTAAAGTGGGTTCTTTGCTGCCATCATTATCATTAACCTGTTGTCCTTCCCACACTGTGTGTCCACATCCACTGACACCCATGTGCTTTCAGTGTTGTCTGAGTTTTCTGCAGGAAGCAGTTTGATTCTATTAAGAAGGAGATGCACCTAAGACTTGCTGGTCATCTACTAAATCATTTTACCCTGAGGCTAAAACTCTTATAATGACCTTCCTGTTTTTCAAACAAACAGCCTTTTTTTAGCTGCTGTGTTCTTAGCATTACTTTCTGTCATCTGGTGCCATTTTTTATGCAAAATGTTGGTTAGTTAATCATTAAAGGAAGCAAAAGAAATAATTTTGAGTATTCCCTTTTAAAGAGTTTTTTCCACTAATTAGACTGTTCATGCTCTTTCACAGCTTAATCTGTACTGATAATATGACTGGCAATAATAATAATAAAAATATCAATAATTTAACTTTATTTATCTCACATTCGAGAAATTTATCTGCGTTTAACCCATCCCCTTGGGGAGCAGAGGGCTGCCTGGGGAGCAGTGTGGGGTTAAGGGTTCTGCTCAGAGACCCAGAGTAGGGTGGCCTACTGGTTGCTTTTTTTTTCTGTTGCCAAAATGCAGTAATAATAATGTTTTTCACGATAAAAGCATAGAAAATTCAAGCTTCTTTGTATATAAATTAACTCAAAAGTAGTCTTCAGTGAGCAATATCTTTAGTCCTGATTTGCAGAGGGTAACACTCTCAGCTCATCAAGTTTCTTGGTGGTTGGTTTAAAAACCGATAGAAACTAAAACAGCATAGAAACTAAATCCTACCTCTTTTTTCATTCTTGTTTTTGGAACACCAGTTAACATGTCCCTGATAAACTTGGTAGTCTGAATGATAAAAAAAAAAAAAAAAAAAAAAAAAAATCAGAACTAGTAACTTTTAAATAAATCTAAGCCAAAGACCTCACCCTGTCTTATAGACCATTGACAAGGTTTTCAAATTCTATATTTTAACAAACAGTCAATCAATTCTGGGGGATTTAAGGGTGGTCAGATATGAACAGGATAATTTATGACCTTTTTGAGACCTTTATAGACAAAAATACAGTAATCTAACTACTGATTTCTTACTTTGAAATTTGTAAGACAAACAAAATTATTTTTAATCTCACATCTGATGAAATTCTGAACCATTTATTTTAAAACACTATAGAAAACTAGTTCAGTTGGTAACAGAGATAAGATAAGTGTTTGACAAGATCATGTATAATAAGGGATCAGTACTCCATACGTTTAGATAAATGCATCATTTAGATGCATTTAAATGAAAGCAGACTGAGAAATTAGCCCTAAGGTAACCAACATGTGATCTTTGTTTGCTCTGATTTAAATTACTGAATGTCACAGACTACTCCAGGTCTTATTGATTAGTTTTTTTTTGTTTTTTGTTTTTTTATTAAAGTTCTTTAAAACAAATAGATGTCACCTAATTACTGAATTTTGTTTAGCAAAAGGAAAAAATTATATAATTACCCAAAACTTTACCTCTCCACATAGTTGCTTTAAATAGTACGAATAAAACGGTTTTTATGTAATAGAAATTAACATGGTGACATTTCAATATTATTTATCTTCATATTGGTGATCTTTTTACTCTTTGAGAAGCATGTTTAAGCAATTATTTTAACATAAAGAACTAGCAGGAGAAGCCAGAAACCTGACACTCCATTTGTTTGGGTATAATTAGCCTTTTAGTTTGAGCTTCCCATCTAATGACTTCCTGTATAGCTACACCCAATACTGTAAGTGGAACTGTGCACTAACGATTATCTTTCAGGGGAATAAATATGGAGCAGGCGTTTGTGTGAATGAAGTGTGGGTACTGAAGTTACAGAAAAGTGTTGTTTCCCGCTCCTACCTGCAGTTCCAGCAGACGTCTGAGCACGTTCTGTTCTCCAGTTCGGTGGTGGACATCTTCACTCAGCTTAACCAGAGCTTTGAGATCATCAAGAAACTGGACTGTCCTGATCCAGCTGTGGTGGCCCAATATAACAGACGCTTTGCTAAGGTGAGCTTTGCACCTGTGTAACACTACAGCTGCTTTCCACTATTGGGTTCCCAATTTCTTAGATTTCCAGTCTACGGTGAACCGAAATATTATGTAACAAGAAATTTATCTTCTCACTCTGCTTCTGCTAAATGCTTTCGTATTTGTCTTTGCTTCCTCATCATAGTCTAGATGGAACAAACCGTCCTCAAATTTAGATGTAGTCAGCTTCGCCAATATCGATGCTGATACTTTTTTAAGCTTGATATATCATGAAACTGTTGACCTACTGGTGCATTTGTGATTTTTACTTTAATAAAACATTAGGAAAACAAATTTTCAAAGCTATTTTGAAATCTTGAGGCAATAAAAAATTCAAAAACTACTGTAAGGGTGACCAGACGTCCTCTTTTTCCCGGACAAGTCCTACTTTTCATTCCTAAAAAATGTCCGGGGGGAATTTCAAAATCGTCCGGGATTTTTTGTAAACCTGGATCTGATGGCTCGGTGCGAATGCCCGGTCTGGTCCAGTCAGCGGCACAGCACACATGCAGGTGCACTGACAAAGACAGTTAGGCTGTGTCCAAATACCGCCCTAATCACTATATAGGGCACTATATAGTGGTTACGTCATTTTAAATGAGGGTCTGAATGTCTAGTGGATGAAAAATTAGTGGACTCAAAATTTCCCACAATGCACCTTGAAAAGTAGTGATCATCCATGGTCACTAGACAATTTGTCACAGCGGCCCACTGTCAGGTACAGTAGCAACAGCGGCAACAAATAACAAGAGTGATCATCTGTCTGAACGGTCAGTTAACTGAGTTCACTATAAAGTCCACTATACAGTCCCCGCTCTATATAGTTATTGAGGGATCTAGGGGTTAGGGTGAATGTTTGGACACAGCCAAAGGCTTTGATGAATCTGCTGCAGTCAATGCATGCAGGAGAGTTTATTTTTAGTATGGTTCAACATCAGTACCACCTTTGGTAGCGATCTTATCGGTATTTGGATCAATCCACCCACCTCTAGTGTAACCTCCTCCAATTATGAAAGTGGGTCTAAAAATCCTGCCATTACAAAATAAGGCAGGGCAACTTTATTTATGTTGCACATTTTAGTAGTAGTACACAAATTGTTTTACACAAAAGTAAAGCACATAAAAAAGTACATTGCAAGATAATTTAAAACAGGAGAAAAGGAGGAAATGATTGATAGTAAAGTGAAAGTAGATTGGACTACAAATTTCAGCTAATATTCTTTAGATGGCACAGTGAAAGGCCACTTTAAACAAATACATTTCTAATCTGGATTTAAAACAATTTAGGGTTCCAGCACCTTTACCAGATAAGTGGTGTGTGAGTGGAGAATGTCTGTGCAAGTGTTGTGGTTTGCAGACCGAGGTTATAAAGCAAAGCAGTTCCTGTGAAGTAGAGGAGAGAGAAGGTTGGTTGCAGTCAGACTCACAGGGTTCTATGTAGGCCATATCAGCAGCAATGCAAAATGTCCAACCCCAGAACATACTGTATGCTGCGTTTGATTTTCTCCTGATATTGTTATCCATGTTATTTAGTGTGGCCATCCTCTGGTAAATGAGAAGCACCTAAGCAAACTTCAGGGCTATTATGTTCTTTTTAAGGATAGGAGGCTTGTTTTTTTACTGGCTTTACAAAGTCATCCTTTTTCAGTCTTGTTCTCATAATCCATAGATTAATCTACCATGCTGACTGAGACCTATAGAGTCCAAGATGGAGTTGCATGGGTTTTGGTGTAATAAATTTTTTTGCGACATTCATTCCAAGGCAGAATTGGCAAATCTATTAAATGTCTTCGTCTTGTGACTAAAATAGAAAATCTTACTGTCAATCAATAACTTAAAATTGTTTGTAAATGTCCTTATTACCCTTGTCTAATAATAAGAAGCAGGTGAGGGTTCTCTCAGACCATTTGTGATGTCTCTCCACCTTAGTGTTGTGTTCATACACCTGTGAGCAACAACAAACTAAAGTAATGTTCCTGATTTTATAGCAGTGGCAACACTGATGGCATGTTTCTTGTTGATTTACATATAATTTTGGTTATTAGCTTGACCAGCTACACTGATACGACCTATATACAGTGTATCAGTCTGGTAAACAGCTGCCACAGCTCGATTACGAAGGGCGGGACCAACAGAGTTAGCCTCAATCAATCAGAAAACTACGGATGTAATGCAAAAACTCCAAGCGACAAGCTATGTTTTTGTAATTTTGTAATCCATGAAACATGTTGAACCATCAAAGAAACACCCCAGTGGATGCTTTCTGCTAGTTTTGCCCCAAAAATCTGATCATAGAAGGCGTGCTCTCTTGTACGTTCTTAATTCTCATTGCAACATTGCTCCATTTGTGGTTGCCCGAAATACACATTGTAAAGTCATGCCTCCTGCTCTGTGATTATTGTGACCAGATCTAGCCAGATTCAGCAGCAGTTTACCAAAATAAATGATCTGTGCTCTGTGTTATTCAGTCTATTTTGGCCAGGCTGCTTGATCATATTATTATAAAATCATGAAAAAAAAAAAAAAAAAAAAAAAAAAAATATATATATATATATATATATATATATATATATATTTGGCTTATTTCATTGAAAAAGTTAAGCTTTCATATTGGAATCATTCTCTATACACACATTGATATATTTCAAGTATTTATTTCCTTTAATTTAGATGTTTACAACTAATGAAAATCCCATATTCAGTATCACAGAAAATTTGATTATTACTTAAGAACAATACACAGAAACAGATTTTTAGAAATATTAGCCAACCAAAAAATATAACATGTACAGCTCTCAATGCTCAGTTTTTCCTGGATTACTGCAGCAATGCAGCATGGCATAGAGTTGATCAGTTTGTGGCAATGCTCAGGTGTTATCAGAGCCCAGGTTGCTCTGATAGTCCACTTCAGCTCTTCTGCATCCTTAGGTATGGCGGATTGCATTCTCCTCTCTACAATACCCCATGGATCTGCTATGAGTTTGCTGTCCAGTTAAGATTAGCGATACCATTGTCCTTAAAACAGGTACTGGAAGCGTTGGCATTGTGCTCAGTTGTCAAGTCCTGTTGGAAAATTAAATCTACATCTCCATAAAGTTGGTCAGCAGCCGGAAACAGAAAGTCTTTTGGCTGTGTTGACCTTGGAATTCACAAACACCATCACCAGCAGAGGACACAGCGATAACATCTTTTCCTTCCCTTTGCACATCTCTATTAATGTGCTTGGATACAGAGCTCTGTCAACAGCCAGCCTCTGTATCAATAGAAATTTTGTGTTTCCTTCCTTGTGCAAGATGTTAGTGGCCATCTTTTGTATAACTCTCAAGTCAGCAGTCTTCCCCATAATTTGTAGGCTACAGAACTACACTAAGGAATTTCTGAGATAGCTTTAAAAAAATTGGTTTTGTCATTTATAGTCATCTAAATAAAAATAAAAAAACATTTGAAATATGTCACTCTGTGTGTAATTAATTTAGAAAATTGCCAGTATCACATTCTGAATGTAATTCCTGAAATAAATCCTTTTTTTTCATGATATTCTAATTATATTATCAGCAACGTTACAGCCTGTACATCAGGCATATTAATGCTCTGAACTTTTTGCCCCGTGTTTTTTTTTTCTCCCACACTGTTTACATCTGATCACTGCTGCAATTTATGGAAATGGAAATTTTCATTTAATTTCTAAAAAACTGTAATTAACTAAATTTCATTTTGTAACACTCTGTGTATACAAAATGTTAAGTTAAGATTGCCAGCCGCTGAAGCAGTCAATGGTTGACGCACATCAAGGCGCAGCAAAGGTCCTGCAGCGTATTTTGAGCAGCTGAAGCAGCGCGTCATGTGTTTCTGAGCATCTGAAGCTCGTGATGAGCTGCAAAGCAGCTCCTGCTAAAGTTGGAAAAAACCTTTGCTGCTCGATGCACCACATCAACCAATCAGAGAAGCTGATCTGGGAGCTTGCAGGGAGACAGACACAGCACTGCTGATGCAAAGAGCTACGATTGCTCCTCTGAAACAGTTTAATGCCTAAATTAACTTAAAATGTCAAAACCTACCTGCACAATATGTTCGATTTTATTATTCTGTTGCCTGCAGTTTGGATTACCTACATAAAAAATGCCTACCAGCTGCCGCGAACAGTAGCGGAAAACCGCAAAGAGGCAACTGGACTAGAGGTTGCTGTTGAACAGGATTCCCAGTGACAGCGCACCGCCGGTTTACAGAGGTCTGAGCGGCTCCGTCAGCTAAATAATATTTGAAGGCAGGATCACAATCTGGTTAAACTGACTGCACAGCTGAATTTTTTAGGTGGACTTTCTCACTTAAAAACATTTTAAAACTACTTTTTACCCACTGATCACAGCAAATATAGCTGCCACTGTTACAGGCAAAGAAAGGATAGTGTAGCTCCATCCAACACTCATCAGACCCACTTTTTCGACCACGCAGCTAGAGCAGCAAAGATGCTTCAGCTTCTGTGCATCAGAACTAAACTTGTACAAGCATAAAAAATTAAGCTGCAGGCGCGTTTTTTGCTGCTCCTGCTGCGTGGGGGCTGAACGTAGCATAAGTCTAAGTCTAGGCATTAGATAGCTGCAAAGAGAGAATGTAAAAAATGGTCCCATGATGACAGAGTGCCAGTTCCTCCTAGCAGTTAAGTTGTAGCAAACAGGGAAAATGTCTGAATTCTCAACTTTAGCATAAAAGACCATTAGGTTCAGTTTTACTCCTTCTAAAGAGGGATCGAATGTTGAGGATTTTCCTCTTCTTTTATTCCTTTTGGATTTTTCCCAAACAAATTTCCTGCACAAAACTAAACAAATGCTCAGTTACATTAGTAGCTGTATAAGATTTAAAAAAAAATATGGAGCCTTTAACACAAGAAATTGCTGTGGCATATTAGAATCTAACCTTTGAACCCTTTGTCATCTTTCACCTCCTCAGATCAGGTGTAAATCTGAAAAACCTAAGCAAACAGATATTTAACATTTATATTGACAACTCATTTCTGTTTTTATTCATTTGAAGCAACAGCTTTTAGGCATTGCCTTCAAAGCTAATATAACTTCAAGGCTGGATCAATAAGGCAGTAATTTGCATAAAGAATGGCTAACGTGAGCCATCACCCAATCCATTTCTATTAAATGGCTTTTTATTTCTGCCTCTACAGTCATTTTAATCTTTTCACTTTTGCTATTGAACCTCCTGCCTTTTGTTTTTCACCCCTTCTACCATTTTCTTCTCTCACTTACTTTAAAAAATTTGGTCACCTATTCCCACAGCAATTCCTTGTTTGTCTTGATTCAGACTATAATAGTATTTCATCTTTATCACAGTAGAGTAGAGACGGCAGCAGAAGTCTCACTGGAAAGACAGGAGCCTCACAATCAGAGGATGGAGGGACTTAGGGAAGCGGGCAGTTAATGGCTTAAATGTTTAATGCATGAGCCTTCCATCCAGCTGAGTCAGCAGAAAGCCAGGGAATCTGTCACAGGGACTCTGGATGCTCTGACGGGAAAACTGCACTATTTAGGTTTTTCCAGTCCTTAAGTTCCCGTCTTAAATCATAAATTAAACCGCTGATTTCTTTGAGAGTTCCCCTGGGAGGTTTGCACTTAAACAAACATGACATTTAGTTTTGTCACCAGTAGACACTATTTGTGCATCCTTGCTAGGATCGTTGACACCTCGTTAACATTTTCTTGACCTTTTTACCGAATGTTTTATACTGCAATCTGCATGTAAAAAAACAACAACACTGTACTAAGCAAAGTTTTTGCAGACCGTCTAATAAGATCAGTGGACAAAAATAGGTTTTAAAAAAAAGTTTTATTGATTAAACTTTATTATTCTCACAATGGAGAAATTCACATCTGCATTTAACCTATCCCCTTAGGGGCAGTGGGCTGCCATTGTGTGGCGTCCGGGGAGCAGTGTTGTCTTAAGGGTCTTGCTCAGGGTCCCAGAGTGGAGACTGTGGGGATCAAACCGGATGCTTGCAACCTTCTCAGAACACAAATGCACTGCTCTAACCACTAGGCCAACACTCTGATGAATTTTCCTCTTTAAGGTTACGAATTAAGTGTTCCCATTGCTGATTGTTGTCCAAATAGAACATTCCCCCATGAGGATCTCCCATAAAGAAGTTTAGCCACTTCACAATAACCTAATAAATGGTTCAACAATACAAATTATCCTTTCTTCCTCATCCCTTCAGCAATTTTTTTTCTCTCAATGGTTTTAAAAACATTTTTGCAATCTGGTCCTGCAGGACTTATTTTTTGTGCTTATCTGAGATCGTGTTACACAATCTCAATGAGCTTTGGGGCAGCTGCGGCTACAATGTAGCTTGCCACCATCAGTAAAGTGTGAATGTTGCATGAATGGGTGAATGACTGAATGTAGTGTAAAGCACTACTAAATAAGATCCTATATAACTCCACGTAACGTTGTTTTGTCCCCTGTGTAGTTTTTTCTAAATCTGCAAACATTGTAATCAAAACTTGTGCCAAACTAAACGCACAAAGACAAAAAAATGGTTCAAATGACCATGCGCAACTGTTTTAAGAGAAAAAAAAGTTCATAATGCAAAAAGTTGTAAAGTTTTGTTTGCAATAAGCCCAAACCAGAGAAACAAGACATCAGGAGACTTTAATATTTATTTTTTTTATGGAAGAAACTGATATTTTTCACTTGAAGATCTCAAAACATCAACCCTGGTTGTTTCCACAGACAATCACCAAAGTTCTGCTGCAGTATTGTGCAGTGCTGGCCAAGAGCTTTCCAGCCTACTGTGAGAAGGAGAAGATAGTGAGTACCCACTGCAAAAAACTTATTTAATTTGTAACTGTGTGTCCAAGGTCGATTTAAAGGAGTTTTCTATTTTCGTTTTTGCAGTGATTTATGTCTTATTCTATTATTTTCTCTCCTATAACACCTGTTCTCGACTCATTCCTCTTCCTACAGCCCTGTGTACTAATGAACAACATCCAGCAGATGAGGGTCCTTCTGGAGAAAATGTTTGAGTCGATGGGAGCAAAACAGGTGAGTGTGAACAAGTAGATTCAAACCTCATAGTGCCACTGTTTTGTTTTCCTGCTAAATCTGTTGCTAATATCACCTACAAGAGTTTAGCATCATCTTGGTGAACTAAAATGCTTCAAGTGTCCTCCTCAAATCCGGGCTAAACATTTCCGTGATCCCTCTAGTTTATTTATAAGATTTTACACAGGTGGGAATAAAAACAGTTTATAAGGATTGTTTCCACAGAATCAGTGGGATATTATTGAAGATCGGAAGTTTAGAAACTGGCATTTGTGTAGATTTTCTGGTAGGCCTCTGGGTATAAATATGGGATAACATTTAAAAGACCCCCTCATTTAACATGAGGGAGAAAAAGTGTGCTTCTTTTTCTCCATAGAGTAGTTGCTGTTTTTAGCCGCTTTCACTGGTGGATTGGATCTCATTTGATATCAGCAGGAAGAGCTGCTCTCAGCTTTGAGTTGGTGGAAGCAGCTTTGTTAAAGATATAGTGGAGGATCTTCATGACTTTTTGAAAAGACCCGCCCTCTTCCACGTAAAAAAAAAAAATAAAAAATGCACGTGCACAACCCTGTACCCGCTCCCGTTGGGAATGCCAATTAGAGGTGTGCGAGAGCATGCATGAGTCAATTTCTCCTCGTGCACGCTCTGTATAAAAGTTGCTCTTTGCATCACTCATACAAACTTACTTTCCAAAAGAACATTTGCAATTTTTTCCACTATATCAGACTCATCAAGTGAGAATGTGGACGAGCACATAGGACGACCTTATATAAACATATCACCAGAACAATTGACAATTAGGAGTACCACTTATTTTGATGATCCACCAGGAAAAAGAACATCCTCCACTATACCTTTATGTAAGATGAAAGTCCTGAAAGCAACATGCAGTACATTCACAATTCATAGAGAGAAAATAAAAATGTCACTAAAACTTTCCATTATAACAGTTCTTGCTGTCAGATTTTTTTTAGGGAAAAAAAAGTAAAGTTGGAGGTTTAAAGTAGTAATTTTATGTAAGGAGTAAGGCTGATTTTGTGTCTGCTCTTGTGCAGTTAACTGCTGAGGAGGAAAGGGTACGTCTGAGGATTTGTCCTTCATCCCTCCTTCCTCCTGTCAGTAGAAAAATAAACACCCATCCTGAACCCCCTTAACAATCCCTAAATGGAATCCATCCCTGTAGACTGTGTTTGGATATTTTTAGGCTTAATTAGACCTCTCTTCCTCTATCTAACAATTCCTCTTCTCCCTCCAAAATAAATAAACAAAAAAAACTTTCCTTTCCATCTGATTCGTTGCTGCATTTTCCAAAAAGCTTGAGAATGAGGAGGAACCTGACGAGCGCGATGAAGAGGTGGGTTCAAGGATATACAGAATTTTTAATATTCAGGATTATCCAGAAATTTCATGTAAAGGTACAGTTTTAGTCAAAGGTTTCAATCAATGTAGACCAGAATCCGATTAAAATGAAAAGTTTTAATAATTTATTGAAGTATTTTGTTCCTGAGATGGGTGATCAGACAACACACAGCTTATTTACTTGTTGATCCAGAAATTAAAATGTAATCAAATATATACTTACAGACCCACTAATATCCACTTATATTTGTTTGAATGTTGCTTAAAATAGACACAAAAAACAAATACATTTTTGTCATTTCAATCAGACTTCTGACTCACATAGAAATAAACCTACCACAAGGTAGAGATAGAAATATTTATTGAAATAATTAATGAATAATGATAGTAGGCCTGTGTGATTCTTGGGTTTTAGACAGCTGATCTCTGTGGGAAGTGGAGGAGAAATGAATGGAGCCAAAGTGGTTTAATTATGCAGTTGTTGATTGGGAAAATGGATCTTACTGAGGTTTGGAGTGGGTGAGCTGCTGTTGAGGATAAGAAACAGGAGCGGACAGACTGACCTGGAGGTGTGAGGAGGGAGAGGAGCACAGCTGATCATTGGGACAGACAAAGGAGGTTAGCATATCAACAACACCTACTGAGAGTAGTTATCTACCCTAGGCGGCTAGATAACCTAATCAATTAATTCTCAGGCAAATGATCAATGACAGCTCCTCTTTACTCCTCTTCTACAAAACAAGATGATTAGGAGCAGGTGTGTGGGAGCACACTGCTGAGCCCCACCCACCAGGAGGAACTGCAGCTCTGAGGAGGAAAGCAGAACAACACAAATACACTTTAAATCCTTGACAGGTGTATCCTTCTTCTGAAAGGCTTTCACATTTCAAAGCTAGTGAGGATGTTTAGGAAGATAAATTTTGCATGTCTATAATGACATGCAGATTAGACTTCCTTAGCAACAAGCTGCTGTTAGGGCCACTTTTGGCCTGGCCCAGATGTTTTTAATCACATCTAAAATGGAGTGAATTGGTTTGACGCTGACTGGACACCTTTAGTCTATGTAAAAGCTGGAACTTGATCCCTCATCCTCTGTTTATTTTTCTTTTTTCCATTTAATGGTTTCCTGTATTCCGCTTTCAATTCTCTCTGAGTGCTGTCCTGAGGTGCCGGCTCTCAGGCATTAAGCCATATACGTCTTTGGAAAGGCAGTTTAGTTTTTCCTACACAGAGGTGACAGTACATCACTAAGTTTGTGATTGGCTCTTTTGTTCTCAGGGCAATCACACCCTGTAGGACATTTGATTCTCAGATTTTGTCTAAGAACTATGTTAGTGTAATGTGCTGCATTTTCAGAGCACCAGAAGACCTGTCCTGAACCTCCAAAGATTATTCAATTTCTTGCCTGTTTTTAAACATTATGATTACCTTCTTAGAAGCCTTTTTTTATATGTTATTATATTACAATAACCAAGAATAGTAGTAGAACTATATGATATGTTTATGATTTATCATGGAACTGTTGATTTTTCCTTAGTTTTACTTCTTTTTTTTCATCCCTGTATGCTCACCACCAGGCCATTTCTGAGAATGAAGGAGAGGATGGCATGGTGGGTAGGCTGCAGCTGAAAGAAAATTCAGCCTTATTTTTTTGTTAATATTTTCATTGTCTATATTTCTTAAAATAACCATCTTCGTTTGGTTCCCTTGGTTTAAATCTTTATTGCTGACAGTCAGAGGACACCAAGGTGAGGGGGAGCTTCCAGGTCGGTAGTGACCTGGAAGACTGTTGAACTTATCCATATGAAACATCCTTCTTTGTTTTCATTTTGTCTTATTATTTCCCTGTTTTTCTTATTCTATTAACCAACAGTCTGGTTGCTCAGACTCAGAGGGATCTGAGGTAAGATTGAAGTTATTTGGGTAAAAGTCATGCTTGGTTTGGCTTACTTTGTAGCAATGTTTCTGTTCTTATGATTCCTAAAACTTAGAATCACTTTAATATTTGCATCAAAGCACTAATATTTATTTTAAAGTATATGATGTTAAAAAATACAACAGTTATGCTGTTAGCCATGGTTATACACACCACTTTATTTTGCTACTTTTGCTTTTTATGGTTTCAGCTTTAGTTCCTTTATTTTGGTGTTGAAGTTGGGGAATATGTTAAATTAATTGTTGGGGATTTTTTGTTTTGTTTAAAAAAAGTCCACAAGTCTGTGTGGTGGAAGCTAAACCTAAATGCATAGTGAAACAGATCAGAGTGATATCATTCAATTGTATTCACTCAGCACTGGTAAGAAATTAATTATTGAAAACTTGTTGTAACTAAATAGTTTTTTTATTTTTTCATAATTTTTTGTATACAAAGTTGTTAAATATATCAAACTTATTGTAATATGATAAGGTTAACTTCAGGTAATCCAAGAAGCACTTAAATGATGTAATTGAAAAAAGAAAGTCATTCCAAACCGTCCTGTTCTGATGTCAAAATATGAAGAAAAAAAAAAAAAATACTGGTAATTAAATCACACATGGTGCCAACAGTTGCCGCTGAGTAGTTTATTTCACCCACATTTGAAGGGTGTAACGGAATAAAGGCCTGTTTAAGGTCTTCCTAATTGGATTTAAGTATAAACTTTGACTAGGCCACTCTGAAACACTTCCTTTTTTTGTTTTGGCTTCCTTATGAGCCATTCAGAGGGTTTTCGGAATGAAAAAATACTTTCATAAACAAATCTTTAGGGGCTATAGTGTACTTTTGTTGCACTAATGGATCACTAAGATAACTGTGTGGTTGGAGTGGCTGTCACCACAAACTCCCATCATTTTATTTACTTGTTGTGGTTTTATTCCACACTGTTTAGGCCTGTTTTAAGCTGTTCATTAATAAAGATCCCACTTTATGCCTGTCCCAGAACTGAAAGGTGGAAGTGGAGAAAGATAGATTGTTTGAATTGTGTTTATTTATCTTTGTTTGTGGCATCTAGAATCTGTTTAGAAATAGAGGGATCTATTTCTAACCGTTCTGCTTTTGCTGTTCTGTCTTCTCCAATCTGTCCTCCTCTAAATGGTCCTGCTGTCTGCTTGTAGGTTGACAACAAAGAGAAGGAGAAGGTCAGTCAGGGTCAATGTGTTTTGTGTGTAGTGCTGTGCGTGTGCAGTTAAATGATTACCGTATTTTCACGACTATAAGGCGCACTTAAACGTCTTTTTTTTTTCCTCAAAATGTGCGGTGCGCCCTATGGTGCGGTGCGCCCTATGTGTGTTCTAACTGCGACTTTTGAGACCACCTCATTGAGGAGATGATGAAAGAGTGGCTGAATGTAAGGAGACCAGCTGTTTTTTTCCACTCATCACCATCGCTGTTAATATGTAACTCCATGCGTGCCCATCTCACAGCTGATGTGAAAAACATGGGGAAACAAATTAACCCTGTGCTCGCTGTTCAACCGCTCGACATCGGTGTGAACCGGACCCAGCAGGTGCAGCAGAAGCAGCGAGTTTACATGCAAAGTAAATGGTTGACGCGTGTATAGGTGCAGCAAAAGGTCCTGCAGCGCGTTTTGAGCAGCAGGAGCGTTTAAGCATCTGCCAACGCGCTGCTGCTGCTCGAGATGGAAAAATTGAAGTTTTGCTGCTGGACGCGCCGCATCAACCAATCAGAGAAGCTGATCTGGGAGCTGACAGCGAGACAGACACAGCGCTCTGATGACATACGATATTAACGCAAATGAAAAGGGCTGGATGGATGAGGAGATGATGAAAGCGTAGCTGAGGGAGGTGTAGCCTATGTGAGGAGACCAGGTGGTTTTTTCCATGCATCACCATCGCCGCATGCCCATCTCACAGCCGATGTGAAAAAAAAGGTGAATCAAATGGACGCTGTGCTCGCCGTTATCCCGGGGGGTCTGACAAAGGAGCTTCAACCGCTCGACATCAGTGTGAAGCGGCCGTTCAAAGTAAGGCTGCGAGCGGCGTGGGAGCGATGGATGACCGACAGAGACCACAGTTTCAGGATAAGTGGAAGGCAGCGCCGGGCAAGTTACGCCACAGTTTGCGGATGGATTGTAGATGGACTAACGTGTCTGCTGGCTCTGTTGTACAAGCTTTTGCAAAAGCCGGCATTATTTCTGAGGAGCCGCGCTGCATGGAAAGTGACTCTGACAGCGGAGAAGGGGAAATTGGCATGTCTGATTTAGCGCAGCTGTTTTATTCAGAAACAGAGGATGATGACTTTGATGGGTTTGATTAATACTTTGTAATAAATACATGAATAAAGCACAATCATACTCAGTTTTGCTCCCGCTCTATTTTTCTACCTGAAAACTTAATTCAACAGCAGCCTCTGGGCGGGTCTCCTCCTCTTCACCGCGGTGGCTGGCAGGTGTTTTTTCATCTAAATAATCTAAATCTTGCAGCTATATTTGCTGTGATCAGTGGGAATAAAGTAGTTTTAATATGTTTTTAAGTGAGAAAGTCCACCTGTAAACTTAATAATTGCAGTCAGTTCATCCAGATTATCTATTTCTGTCGGAGGCGCTCAGACCCCCACATACCAGCGGTGCGCCGACAGGAGAAATCCTTTCATCAGCAGCCTGTAGGCTGGGCAGCCTCCAGGTTCACGCGGTGGATGGCAGGTGTTTTTCATCTAAATAATTTAAACTGCAGGCACCCATAAAAGCGAACATATTCCGTCGGCAGGTTTCAGGATTTTAAGTTAATTTAGGAGTGATCACAGCGCTGTGTCATCTGCGATGTGTCTGTCTCACGGCCAGCTGCCAGGTTTGATTAATACTTTTTAATAAATACATGAATAAAGCACAGTCATACTCAGTTTTGCCCCCGCTGTATTTTTAAATACGCAGTAGAGGTATTTAAAGGTAGTAGAGGACATGTACCTGTATATAAAAAACGCGCCCTATAGTCCGGTGCGCCTTATGTGTGTGTTAAATACAGAAATGGGACACATAACTGAGACTGCGCCTTTTAGTACGGTGCGCCTTATGGTCGTGAAAATATGGTAGATTCTTAGGAAAAATTAAAGGATTTTTTTATTCATTGCACTTACTGTAAATAATTTAAGCCTTTATTACTGTAATTTTGATCAATTTGGTTACAGAGAACCAAAACCTACAATTTAGTGTCAGAAAAGTAAAATATCACAAAAGTTCACTCAGCATATTTTAAACAGAAATGTCTGGATTCTGAAAAAAATAAATCTGTTAATTTCCATGCATTTAGGGCTGGGTCTTTGGCTCAATTTTAAATTAATTATTGCAGTACTACAGCATGGGATGTAAGCAGTTAGCATGTTGCCCTCTACATGCCAACATCGTACCAAACAGAAGCAAAAGACGCTTTAAAAGCAGCTTTCAGGTCATTGTTGGACACTATTGGGTCTTTTGTCTCTTCTCTTCCTCTTAAAATACCCCTTAGATCCTTTACAGGGTTCAGTTTAGAACAGTTTGCTGGCCAATCAAGCACAGTAATACCGTGTTGACTGAGCTAGCTTTTGGTATGTTTGAAGGTGTTATAATTTTACATCCTGCGATAAATAACAAAAATAACAGCAGTTTTTATAGTAGTCTTAATTAGTGGTGCTGTATGTTTTCATCAGTTGTGTGGTTTTGGTCTTACAAAGATGAAGAGTCCCATTAGAGCAGGAGACTGCAGCTGTGCCCAGATATAGAATTCAAAATGGCACAAGAAATTAAAAAGATTTTAAAATTAAAGAGAACTAAAAGATTAGTTACACTAAAAGATTACTCTGCAAAAATGCTCTTGAAATAAATAAAAATGTGTGTTTACCCTTTGAGCAGGCTGATAAGATGATTTGCCAATGGACTGAGTATTTTTACTCTTAAAATAAGATAGATAAAATGCACTTGAATTGTTTTTCCTATCTTAAATATAAATTGTCTGGTGCGTGCTTTGGTAGCGCAGTGGTTGGCGCGCATGACCCATGTATGGAGGCCTTAACTGTGTACAGCAGCCAGCAAACCACTGAGACAGAGCTTTGAGATAGGAAAAATGTATCTGGACATAAACTTAGTGTAAGTACACTGCAAAAAAAATGCAAATCTAAATAAGTGATTTTTTTCTTAAAATAAGTGCATTTGTTCTGTGTCTATAAATTGTTTGGGGTGTGCTTTGGTGGCGCAGTGATTGGCGTGCATGACCCATCCTTAGTCCTCCACACGGCTGACCCGGGTCCTTTGCTGCATATCTCTCCCTCTCTCTCTTACCCCCTTTCCTGTTAACCCAAAAATAAATAAATAAATGTTAATTGTGTTGTTCCATTGGCGAAGTGTCTCACCTATTTAGATTAGCATTTTTTTTGCAGTGCACTTACACTAAGTTTATGCCAAGATGTCAAAGCTCTATCTCAGTGGTTTGCTGGCTGCAGTACACATTTAATCATGACGATTAAAAATATGGTCAAAGCATAAACCAAAGACTTGAGAAATTTCCACCTCTCAGTAACGACATAATATTGCAAACCACAGAGAATCTCAGTCCCTGGCAGGAGAAAGTGAGATTTTCTTTTCATGTTTTATTGTTGAGCACATGATTGTTCCTGAAATCGCAGCCACTCTCCGTAGAATTCAACAGATCCTAGTTTGTTTTGTGTTTAGATAAGTTATAATCTGTCCTCCTGTAGGATGACTCCTCAGCTTATGATGAGAGCGAGGAGGAGCAGGAGAAGGTTTGGCTTGTTTGGTCTTATACTCATCTTCCTCTGCTGCTCCTGGACTCCTCTGCACCAACTAAAATCCTCATAGTTTACCATAATCCTCCGCCCCTTCTCTCCTTTGACATCATTTCTCTATATAAGGGGTGGCCAAGTCCAATCCTTAAGAGCTCCCATCCTGTGGCTTTTAGATGCATCTCTTCTTCAATGCATCCAAATACAAAAAAAAATTGCTTGCAGTTCTAAATGACTGACAGCTAATCCGGGAATTCAGCCATGTGATTCTGTGGAAGAAGGGATGCATCTGAAAGAGTGCTCTGTAGGACAGGATCCTTCCATACGTGCCTATATATCCCCCCTCCACCATTCTTATCTTAATTCAATCTCTTTTTTTCATGTGTTCCTTTCTTTAATGAAAAGCTTGACAAAGAGAAGGTGATCCACAAACAGATTAATTTGACACAAATATTTGGTTTTTGTTTGTAATTTTAACCGGTTTTCCTTTCCTTTTTTAACTTTTTTTAGTCTGAGTCCAAAAAGGAAAAGGTTTGTCTGTGTTTCTATATCCTCATCATAAGAGTAACTTTTTTGCACCAATAATATTTTATAGTGCTATATACAGCAGGTAACTTTTGCTGCTTTTTGTACATATCTCCAATCTTTGTAAAAGCTGAAAAGTGATCAATCTTTCATTGCAGGCATGTAATTTTAGATGAAATGAACTTATTCTGCAGAGGAAAATATAGTTTCTTCTCTTAATGTATGGTCTCTTAATGCTTTAGAGAAGCTCACAGTCTTTACTGTTGCATCTTACATGGTTTCTTTGCAGACAAACTTGCAAAATCTTTTTAGATCACAGATTTCTTGCTATTCAGTGCTATTTAGATCTTGGAACTGAGGCAGTTGTTAAAGAAGACTGCTTTTAATGTCTTACAAACGTAACTGCTTAGGCAATTAGATTTATTTGACATCAGGTATTTCAAAGAGTCAATAATGAATTTGGAGTTTTTAATAGATTTAGCACACAGAAAAAAATTATCTTAATGGTTTATTAATAGATGTAATGAAATTAAAGGCTGGGTTTTTCTCAAAGAATTACATGTTTAAAAGTTTCTACAGCTCATCCCAGCTGCAGCCTGGTGGGACTGTCTGTTAATGATCCTAACACAATCAGGAGATTTTAAATCATCGCCACCTTGATCTCAATCTCAGAAGTACCTGAATGTGCAAATCCTGTCTGTCCCTAGCTAATCCTGTCTAACGTCAAGGTTGTATTTCATATCTTTAACCCCTGATGAAAAAAATGGAGAGTTAAGGCTAAGAAGGAAAGCTGGAATTTACAAACCTTGCAGCTGTTTCACTTGTAGACAGTGGTTATTAAAGTGTGAGTCACAGCTTGCAGGAGGAGACAGTAAACCTGTTGAAACTGCTAAAACAAGATTGCTGTCAGCATGTTGTTGCTTTAGGGAAGGGGGGGGGGGGGTGCCACAGATGCTGTGGCTCACCTACACATATGTGTCCTTTCAGGCTGAAAAGAAGGACCAAGAGAAGCAGGTTGGTTGGTTTGTGGTCGTTTTACCCTCAATTTGCAGAAAGCTTCATGGCCTACTTTATTTTTTTTTAAACAGTGCTCCCTGCCATTGCTCTCCTTTTCTTAGCTTTTCTTAAGTATTTTTAAAAGGCATATGTGGCTGTACATTTTCTATCTTAAATAATACAGCTTAGATATATCTCTTATTTGAAAATAGAGTATGTTTTCTGTCTCCCCAAAAAGCAAATAACATTTATCTTAAATGTCTTTATCCTCATTTTTGCCCAAGGAGGAGACCATTACCAAAGAGGTGGGTTCTTGAAACACATTAGTCTTAATGTTAGAAAGATAAACAGAGGCAAGGACCTGCAGGAACCATAGAAATTCAACAGCAACAAAAAAAAACCTACCAGTTACATCTTTTTCAAGTTTTTGTCTTGCATTTGGAAAGTTTAAATATAGTTTACAGATGATTTTCCTTTAATTAGAATACTGTTGAAAAGTAAGACTTAATTACACATAATAAATCTTATATAGAGTGTTTTAGTTTAAACCTGTTTATATAGGCTAATCATGGTGTGGATGGAGTTATATAGTGCTGTATTCAGGGTATTCATGGAAAATTGGGTAGAAGGAAAAAGTTTCCAACAGGGATAGTGTTCAGGTTTGTAACAAGTGTAAAACAAGCCTGTCATTAGCTTGAACCCACTAAGAAGTGCTTTTCCATTCTATGTGCAGAGTTCTTTAACAGTATTGTCAATTTTACAGCTAACAATAACAAAAAACAGATCATATGCTGTATCAGAATAAACAGAACCAGAATGTAACATTGGAAATCCCTCTTACTACAGAAAGAGGAAGTCAATCTTTTTTTTTTTTTTTTTGTCACAAGATTTTCCAGCAGCCTTTGTGATTCATCCAGGTTCAATAGTGTCCAGATTTTAGTTCTTTTTGCGGTGGGATCTTCTTTTTTTGTTAAGATAATGTATTGGATTGTTAATAATTGGCACAAAAAAATCTATTAATGTAAATCTAGAGTTAAATGAAAAACTTTGCTTATTGATTTAAAAATCCTTAAGGACAAAACCTGATTCTGTTTCAAACTGCAGACTACCATTTTCCTAAAATGAGATTTTTTTAGAATGAAAAAGAAAAAAACTGAAAGCAAAAAAAGAAACAATAGAGCCAAATACTGTACGTCATAATGGCATTGAAATGATGTGTAATAGGAAAAACCATTAATCAGCACTGAATTTCTTTATGTTTCTATGTTATTTTACTGTTGTGTCATGTGAAAACTTTTATATCCAGTTGAAGTCGATCCTGTTCGCTCCCATATTTCATGCGTTTTTGTTACCATTTTATTTTACCATCAGAGAAAAGAAACCCATTGTGTTTCCAACTCCTCTGTTAAATGTGTTTTAGACAGTTGCTGCAGTAGAGGGTAGAAAAGACTGCTTTAAATATCAGCCGTCTAATCTTTACCTTTTTGCTTCATGTGCTTTTTACAGTCAAAAGAAGAACTCAACAAGGTCTGTTAGTTTAGTGAACATCACCCCCCCTCAAAGCTTTATTGCTGTATAAACTCAAGTGTAAATTTTCCTGAGAAAAGCCTGCTGCAGATATTCTGATGTGCATTTCTGACTTGTTAGACGATGTCATCCTCCCAGCTGTTTCCGTTAGACACCATTGGTGCCCATAGAGCTCCATAGTAGCAGTTCACCCGCTCGCCCTTAGCCCTGTGATATCACCAAACCACACTCAGAATAAATCAAGTTCTTTGTGCTTTTGATGTTTACAGCCTTTTGTTTTGCACTTGTTTATCATCGGCTGATTTTTCTTATGCTTTTGTCTTTTTTTTTTCTTGTCACTGGAAAGACTGAAGCCACATCTGTGGTCACAAAGAAGGTACAGTGAAGTGAAATAGCCACAGTCAATAGATTACCTGTCCATAGGTTTATGGTGCAGTAAGTGTTGAGTTTTAGTTTTAAAAAAAAAAAAAAAAAATATATATATATATATATATATATATATATATATATATATATATATATATATATATATATATATATATATATATATATATATATATATATATATATATATACACTACCGTTCAAAAGTTTGGGGTCACATTGAAATGTCCTTATTTTTGAAGGAAAAGCACTGTACTTTTCAATCAAGATAACTTTAAACTAGTCTTAACTTTAAAGAAATACACTCTATACATTGCTACAGTAATGTGGTAAAGGACTATTCTAGCTGCAAATGTCTGGTTTTTGGTGCAATATCTACATAGGTGTATAGAGGCCCATTTCCAGCAACTATCACTCCACTGTTCTAATGGTACAATGTGTCTTATGGCAGAGGGGTAAAAATAGCTTCTTCCCCTCTGCCATAAGACCCATGAACACATAACTATATGTCAGACTCCATAACCTGCCCATGCCATTTACACTGCTGTATTGCACACTGCTCTATTTGCACTACCTTGTACATTTTACTTTTTATACTTTTTATATATATATATATATTTTTTTTTTTATCCATATTTTTATCCTAAGTGTATATATTAGTATATTTTTTGCATGCCTTATACCCCAGTGTTTTTAGAGATTTTTATAATTTTATTTACCTATTTCATATTATATGTTTCATGTTGCACGATTGTACCATAAAAAATTCCTAGTTGTGAACTCCTTCACTAACAATGGCAATAAACCCGATTCTGATTCTGATTCTGATTCTGATTCTGATTCTTGCTCATTGGCTCAGAAGGCTAATTGATGATTAGAAAACCCTTGTGCAATTACGTTCACACATCTGAAAACAGTTTAGCTCGTTACAGAAGCTACAAAACTGACCTTCCTTTGAGCAGATTGAGTTTCTGGAGCATCACATTTGTGGGGTCAATTAAACGCTCAAAATGGCCAGAAAAAGATAACTTTTATCTGAAACTCCACAGTCTATTCTTGTTCTTAGAAATGAAGGCTATTCCATGCGAGAAATTGTTAAGAAATTGAAGATTTCCTACAGTGTGTACTACTCCCTTCAGAGGACAGCACAAACAGGTTCAATAATTTATATGAAGAAAGACAAGATGATTTTCTGATTACTGCTACTATTTAATGTCGATCAGTCCATCCACCCACCCACCCATCCATCCATCCATCCCTCCATCCATCCATCCATCCATCCATCCATCCATCCATCCATCCATCCATCCATCCATCCATCCATCCATCCATCCATCTTCTCCGCACAGTAATTTAAGAGTTATGGATGCCAGTGTGTTAAGTAAAAACACCTAACTGAGATCATGAGCCATTTCCTTGATTGCTCTCTTCTTGTACATTTATTGTGGTTCCTTATTCAAACATGAAACCATTATGCGCCTTTGCTTCGGTGGAGGCATTTAAATGCTATAAACTTGTTTTAAATCTAAAATACCCAGTTTGATAGATACACTACTGCATGCTTGAAAATTGTGCCTGACCTTCATTTTTCAAGGAGATTAAAGATTTACTCTGAGATGCCATTAAAGCTTTTACTTAACTCTGAGCTCCAAATAAACAGGGATGCATATTTTGCTGGCCAACCTTTCACCTCCATCATTTTAGCGTTTATCAATTAAAATGCAAGAAGGTAAAGCGCTTTTGCTGGAAAGTGGCCCTCCCTCTTTACCCCACTTATATCTACTCTGTGGCAGTGTGCCCAGTGTCTTCTAGCTAATAACACTCTGCTGCGGTTATTGATGGAGCACTTTTAATAAAGACTTATTTGGATGCTTCTCCTTATGTACATCCAGCTCCTACTTTGACTGGTGTGACACATGGAGAACACTTGAATAATCTTAATAAGCTTGTTTTTTATTCTTTAATTTATTGATAACTTATTATTGAGACCAGTTAATTTTCTAAAGCATGTGGAAGACATTATTCCTAAAAATGTGGAGTTTTTTTATCTTTTAGTGTGAAACTGCTTTGTGCTGCTACAGGGGTTCTTTGTTCTGAACTTCTGTCCAAAATGATAGTATAGCATTATGCTAAACATTAACTAAAGCTGGAATTAAAATGACCTTTTGAGTGTTATGTTTCTTTGATAAAAAGGGTGTAAAATACAGTATATTTTCATTCATCTTAGGTTCTATTAACATTTAAGTACTATTTTTGTCCCTCTTTTGCTGTGATTATCTCATTCAAATGACAGCAATGAGATTTATTGTAGATATGGTCTTTGTTCAAATCTGGAATTTGATTTCTCTTTTTTTCCAGACCTGGAAAAGTATGGTTAAAGAAAATGAGCATATAAAACTATATGTATATGTAAATTATATTTTAGGCATTATTCCCTATCCCATTGTCTAAAAAGTCTTTCTTCAATTTATTCTATACTTTCATTCCCTCTCATGTATTTCCCCGCTTCATGTCTTATCCTCATTTTTTTTGGTGCACTTTTTTTTATCCATCCTTTTTTGGATTTAATTTTTATTAAATTCTTTTATCTTTTTGTTTTTCTCCCTCTTTGTTTTCTTCTTTTCTGGGAGTTGTTCTTCTTTCCTTCTATAGATCCGACTGCATACTCCTTCAATTCTTGCGTTCTTACATGTACTAAATCTTTCCTTCCTTCCTTCCTTCCTTCCTTCCTTCCTTCCTTCCTTCCTTCCTTCCTTCCTTCCTTCCTTCCTTCCTTCCTTCCTTCCTTCCTTCCTTCCTAAAGAAACCAGCTTGAAAATTACAGTAAATATATGTATTTCATATTCTAAATTAAAGTAAAAGGTAGAGAATTCTTAAAAAGCACAGATTTCTAATGAAATGTCTCTGAACATTTTGTGATATATGAATGTTCAGCTTTTACTCAGTTTTTTTCTGTTGGAAAGTAAAACTAACTTCAGGATGTTTATGCCTGGTTATAAGAAAACGGTTTTCATTTCATCCTCTGGTACATTTTTGAAGATCCGCTTGAGTTTCAGGAAATGACCTCTTTAATTGCTCCATCCAGACGAGATAATACAGCATGTTCTGAAGAGGCAAAATAGAGCCTGTCTTCTGTCTTTCTTGTTACATCTATGAATGCTACACAGATTAAATGTATGATGGGCTCTCAGTTCTTTAACATTCATGACCTGCTGCTTTGCTGTAGGTAGAGCTCATACATTAATCTCTGTTCATATGAGAAAAGCAACTTCTGCTGCATAATGTCCTCAACAATATTTGCTTTTCCAATTGCCAACATTATACTCAAAATCCCTGTAAAAATGTCAAAGCATGCATGAAATTAAACTTACATGGGTAAACAAATAGAGAAAGAAACTTAATTAATCACAAAAACAAATCGATGCTGTTCCTTACTTTGAGTTCAACTCTCCAGAGTGCTTCATGTCTTCACAACCCAACTTTTATAACTCGTGACCTAATGTCAAGTAGATTCAGCTGTCATATCTTTACTTATACTTTAATTTCAGGGCACTAAATAGTTAAGTACAGAAGTTTTTCTGCTGATTTGATAAACTTATTCCTAAAGTTGGGGTCAGGAGATCACTCTGAAGATAATAAATGTAATTAGCTTTAAACAGTGACCTGGTTACCAAGGCTGTTTGTCTCTGCATTATGGTCTGGTTTAATTGCCATATTGTCTGTTGAGTTTCTTTTGTAAGATATACAATCCATCCAGGCAGCAAAATATAAACGGGTTGAATTAAAAGTGATATGGAAACTTTTACTGATGTAAACTTTAATAGACGACCCAACACTTTATTAGCCGACAGGGGTTAAGCTTTTGCTGTTCACAGACTTTAGCATGCTGTTAACACTGGAAACATTTGGTGAGCATTAACCACTTTGCGAAGGCCTGCATTTGTTTTAAAACGGACAATATTCAGTAAATTAGGAAAAAAACTGCTAGATATTTTTATAATAATTATGGACCAGTAGAAATTTTACATGCAAGTTAAAAACAAACCGTCCACTTACTGAAGAATGACTAATGGTTAGTAAAAGCTAACTATGTGATGCTAAACTTGTCGCTACAAGCATGCTTAGTGTGGGGGATTGTATTTGAGTCAATGAGTCAATGCAATCAACTGGTTTTCCTTAGATAGAAAACTTTGTATCAATTTGACTGTATGATCTGGTTGAACTGTAAAGTGCCTTGAGATGACATGTGTTGTGAATTTGGCGCTATATAAATAAACTGAATTGAAATTGAATTGAATTAAACTTAGTTTTTAATGGTGTTATCTGTCCTGCTGTTTTATTTTTTTCAAAAACATTCATGATGTGAACTCCAAAATAACTCTAAGACAGAAAACTTAAAAAAAAACACACAAAAAACATGGAAACTAACCCTTAAGTTTCTCCTCGACAGAGCCACCCTGCCGCACCTACTGAAAATTATGTAACATTGCAGCCAAGTTCTGGCTCTGGTTCTGATCACAAAGTTACGACCCTGTTACCACCACCCTCATCCTTTTCATTTCTACCCATCTTTCAGCTGGACACTGAGGCCGCCAACATCCTCAACGACCTTCAGGTGAAGCTCAGTACAGTCCTGGACAACTTTAGTGCCGTGTTTGCTAAAAGGTAACAGCCCTTAGGACCTGGGTCTAAACTAAACCCTAAAGCTAAATAGTGGCTTGCAGCAGGCGCTTACAGACTTAATCTTTGCTCTCTTCAGTTTCCAGAATCGCATAAACAGCTGCATGCGTCAGATGGCCGAGATCCTCTACCAGATGAAAGGTCCGCCCAACCACAACACTGCAGAGACAGACGCCGACAATGCACTGCGGCCTCTAATGGAGTTCCTGGATGGAAAGTAAGTTGCCAAGATGTGTGCAACCTTCAATATAACGCCTGATTAGAAATATGCATTTAGAGATAAGGAATACAACCTTCAGAAATGTTTAGTGAAAATGGTAAATTTGTTATTAATCACATGATAAATTACAATTGTGGCGGGCCAGGGCCTTCAAGGCCTTCACTGCTGGCCTAAAATCAATCAGAGACACTAATCTATATTCAAAACCTAAACTTAAATTTTCTTCTATCCAACTGTATTAATTTATTCCAAACGATCTGTTCTCTTAATTATGTAGTGTTATAATTATGCTATATATATGCTATATTTTTTGTCTAATCAGATTTCAGCCTCAGTTCGTTACTATGTTAATCACTTCTGCCCAGGGCCTTCATTATCAGCATGGCGGCTGTTACCTTAACAATATTAGTGAGGAACGCTTTCTTCAACCAATCAGAATTTAGATTTGCCTCACAGGGCCAGCTTGCGAGCCCACCCCTACATCAGCATTTTCTGTCCGCTGATTGGTCAGTTAGAGCAAAAAGATTTACAGCCAAGTTAAGCTAGCGACAATCTGCATTTTAGATTCAAAAATGGAGATGGAAGGATAATAAAGAGGATAACTTGCACTTATTAATAGAAGCAAATTTTCTGCTCTCTGTTAGATAATACCGTACCTGGCCACCCATACATGACCTTCACACAAGCCGACCTAGGTTACATTGCAGGAAACTGAATCCAAGCACATCAACAATTCCAGCTCAGAATATCTCAACAGAACATAAATATTTCAGCTTCGGTTATTTAAATAGTTTTGTTTCAGAGCGAATGTTGTCTAAAGGCAATTTAGATTAAATTCATATATAGAAATAAACAGTCGATTCAGTCCAGTAATTTACTCAAATTTAATCACTTTTCTTCTAATTTATTAGAGCAAAAGACAAATCTATTTGAATTTCAATTTATTAAAACTTGGTGGCCAGCACTGAGTCAATGAAGTGACTAATTAAGGATTTAGTGTGGCTTTATCAAAGTCTGGAATTAAATATTTTAATAGAGGTGTTTATGCTTGACAACCCTCAGAATTGTCTGATTTTTACTAAACTGATATCAACGACTTAACATCACAGTGTTAACATTTGTTAAAGGATGTAAAATATTTCGTGGAACGAAAAGGGCAAAAACAGATGGAATCTTTAAGGGGGTTAGTCCATTACTTTCTCTATGCACTGCTGAACATAATGGAAAAGACTTCATTCCTGGAAATAAGCGGATCAAATTATCCAATTAAAACCGGCTGCACTCTGCCTTATAGTTAAGGTCAATATCTTTTCTGTCCAGCAGCCATTTGGCTTATTTACATGACATAAATTGGCTTAAAATCATGTTCTTTTACAAACAACTTGTTATCCCTAAATTACTTTAAATTACGTACTTTTACAAAAAAAAAAAAAAGAGAAAGAAAAAGTATGGTATCTCTATTACTTTTTTACTTAAAGCAGCTCAGATATCACATTGTATAGTATTCTTGTTTTAACTGGTGAGGCTGTGTATGAATCCCAATAATGCTACACTTTGCTGCCATCTGCTGGTCACAATCATCCCTAATTGGGCTTAACATTTTTTTTTTTTTTTGCTATGTATTTTTTGATCACCTGCTTAACAGGAAAAAAAGAAAAATTATTACAAGCAAAATTACCTGCAAATTTTACAGTTTTGGTTGTTTGCTTAGTGCACTTGTTTATTTGTAAAGCACTGCAACAAAATATTTTCTTAGGCAGAAATCTTTAGTGTTTTTTTTTATTATTATTTTAAACACCAATGTCTCGTCTGCTTGTAATCCAGCCTCAGCATATTCGCTGACATCTGTGAAAAAACGGTGCTGAAGAGGATCCTAAAGGATCTGTGGAAGATTGTCCTGAGCAGCCTGGAGAAGACCGTCGTCCTGCCTCAGTCTAATGACAGCCTGGTGAGAGAGACAACAATCTTCCCTGTCCTTACTCACCTTAAAACATCTCTAACCCTGTACAACAATATAGTTAAAGAAAGACGTCTGCTATAGGGACTTACCTCAGAGATGAAACATTAAAACATCAGAATCAAAGTGGATAGATGCTTCCCTCAAGAATTTTACTTTATCGCTTGATTTTATAAAATGAACCTGAAATACTGCCAATTATTGGGGTAGAGGAATAGAAGCAAAATGTTGCACAATAATGACCACTTTCTTCTTCCTTCTTTGTTCATCATGTTTTCAAAAAAATATATACTTAGCTGAAGTTGTCAAAACCTAACAATTATATTCGTCTGGGTGTCTTTTGAGTATGTTCTTATTAAACATGTATTGTGATATCTAAGTTAGGCTAAACATGTGAACTGTATCATAAGTAGTGTATGGTAAAAGGATATTAACAGAATTTTGGGCTCTGCTGCCCTTCCCGGTTTGCTTCTTCTCCTTTAATTTGATATTTCCGTGTTTGGGATAAATCTAATCTTCCTCTCTCTCTGTTTGCAGGGAGCTCAACTCCTCACTGCAGCGAAAGGACTCTCTAATCTCAAGGTACATCTTTAATCAAATCAAAAATCAAATCAAATTTTATTTGTATAGCCCTTTACAATAACACCAGGAAGACCAAAGTGCTTCACAGAAGTATAAAAACGTTTAAAAAATAAATAAATGAAAGAATAATAATAAAATCATAAGCATAAAACAACTTGTTCTAAGTACTAAAAGCCAGTAAAAAAAAAAAAAATGAGTCTTTTATCTGGATTTAAAAAGGTGCAGATCAGTGAGAACCCGTACACCGAGGGGCAGATTGTTCCACATTTCCGGTGCAGTGTTTATACTGGAACCTAGGGACATCCAGAGCCATTTGATCAGCGGACCGGAGAGCTCCCCTGGGGCGATGTACGGTCAACATCTCAGTTAAATATAGCAAAGCAAGACCATGAAGTGCTTTAAAAACAAGTGTAAAAACTTTAAAATCAATCAAAATGAGAGGCATTTATTTAGGATTTAATTAGAGTTTATTCTTAATTATCATGTTCTCAATTATTTATTTGAAAAAGCCAAAAAATTAATTATAGTTGTTTTGTTTAATACAAACTGCCTTTGTTTGGAATCCATTAACCTCTTTTCAGAATTAAGATACGTGAGAAAATTGATTAGACTTGATTGGAGACAAATTTTTAAATTGTTTAAACCCTCTCATTATTAGAAAAAAAACAGATCTTACATTTAGCAGCTTACAAAACTGTGTACAGTTTGTATCTAACATGAAGCCGATTTAAATCAAAAAATGTTGTGGTTTTAAACAAGATGTGAATACTTTGCTGTATGTCTCATTCTTCATGCTGAAAAATTTCTTTCTTACTGCACTTCTAATATGTAGATGTTGTTTCTCCTTTGTGTTTTATTATAGGTGTTTCTTTATGAGTAACTTTTTATGTTAACGTTTGTCTGTTTTCACAGGGAGGAGCTGAGGCCAAAACTTTGACACCTAAACAATGCATCATTATCGATGCAGGGCTGGAGACGATCAAGGTGGGTTTTACAAACATGGTCGGAAATGTTGCCATGTTATTGCTGCCATGTTAACATAGAACCGAGGTTCTACATACTGCCTGGTTCCTGTGTTTGAGACTCTGGGATTAAACTTCAGTATTTTTCCAGCTATAGATAAATCAGAAAACATTTGCTATTTCAAATCCCTATTATCTAAATGTGGTGTCCTCCCTTTCTTTTCTACCTTCCCTTATTCCTTCCTTTCTTTTTCCTGTGCATTTGTTTCTTTCCTTTCAAAGTAATGTACATTTTCAGGCTTCCTTGTGTCCTCCCTTCCTTTCTTCTTTCCTTCCTAGTTCCTAATTCCTAATTCTAATGTCCTTTATTCTTTTTATCCTTCATTCCTCGTTTTCTTTTTTTTTTTAATACCTTCTTTGTATTTTCTTTTCTGTGCCTTACCAAGAAGTTAAAAAACAAACGACTGGACTTTGTTTTCGAAGTTAGAAGATGTTTCCCTTCCTATCCAGGAAGCTTTTTCAATTCAAAATGTCTAGATTAGGATTGAGTTCCAAGCTTTATTGAGTAGCCCAACAAAGCCTTCGAAAACATGCAAATTGAACCGGAAGAAGAGGTCCACCCCTTAGTTACAGGGAGCCATTGAGGTCTTTTTTAGCCTGCAATACCCGATACTGGTCTATGCCTCTGAAAGGGGGAGTTGCTAGGGTCATTGTTAGCCCTGCTGAGCAGGCAAGATGTCTTTCTGTGCCTTGTTTCCTTTCCTTATTGAAATCTCTTTCTTTCTTATTTCCTTTCTTAGCTCCTCTTTCATTTCCTTCCCTCCTTCCAGCCTTCCCTCTGTAGGTTCCGTATTAAAAGTCTGGTCACTGTTAAATTATCATTAAACTAATTCTGAAAGTTTGTATTTTAAAGTAAGAACATTGGTGTCATCTGCTGCCTGGTTATCCAGCCTGACAGGCTGGACCAATCAGAGCACGGCGGGCGGGTGTTTACACTTCCCCCACAGTGACCCATAATGCAGTTGTTTTTCATAATGCCCTTTTTGAATCAACTGGATATATCTTTTAAATTTCATATTGTGTGCTGTAGGTCTTAGGAAATTTGAACTGCTAGGGTAATATTTTACATATTCACGCCCCAATTCAGTCCTGCTGTATTCGTAAAACTCCTGAAGATACAAATTAGACTAAAATACTGGGCAGTAAAATGAATAAAAACATAAGGACTGGGGAAAACCACAAAACATACAATGAAAGTAGAGCTATGGAAAAAAAAAAACATGCATCAGGCTATCTTGGAAATTAAAAACATAAAAAGAGTCTTCTGTGGTAAGAATAACAAACCATCAGACTTTTCGTCTGCTCCCCTATTTCATCTGCTGTCCTTATCTCTTTTAATCTTACAGGACAGTTTCACTGTAGTTACTCCTGCGACAGACACTCATACCCAATTATTTCTGTTTTACCCTCCATGGTCCAGATGTAGACCATATAGATCCATTTTGTTTGTGTGTTTCACTTCATTATCTAAAAATGCAGGTACAATAATTTTCTTTTTAAAACCGTATACAGTCATTACTTTTAGGCAATATTTTCCAAGTAATCATTTTTAATTCAATGACAATAAAGGTGGGCTGCTCAGTGGCACAGGGGGTAGCATTCCTTGCAGATGCTACCCACAGTTTTCTCCTTCTTGCTGCACTCCTTGCAGGTTGTGAGTTTGATTCCCGGCCCGGGGTCTTTCTGCATGGAGTTTGCATGTTCTCCCTGAGCATGCGTGGGGTTTCTCCGGGTACTCCGGCTTCCTCCCACAGTCCAAAAACATGACTATTAGGTTAATTGGCTTCTCTAAATTCTCCTTAGGTGTGCATGAATGGTTGTTTGTCCCGTTTTTTTCTGTGTTGCCCTGCGATGGACTGGCGACCTGTCCAGGGTGTACCCCGCCTCTCGCCCGTAGACAGCTGGAGATAGGCACCAGCACCCCTCGCAATCCCACTTGGCATTAAGCGTGTCAGAAAATGGAAAAAATCAGTTTGCTACCTACATTACATTACGTTTATGTAGTTAAAAGCCAAATATTGTCTTCTTTGATAATTAAAAAAGCAGTTTCTTTCCTTTGTTGCCTTTTAGCAATTCTTCCATGCTGGAGGAAATGGCCTGAAGAAAGCATTCGTAGAGAAAAGTCCTGAGCTAGCTTCGCTGCGTTACGCCCTGTCACTGTACTCCCAGAGCACCGATGCCCTGATTAAGACCTTTGTCACCACACAACACTCCCAAGGTGGTATCACAAACAGCATGCATCTGATGCCAGTGATATAATTCTTAAAATAATTAAAAACTTCTTTCCTTTGTTGTCTCAGTGCACGATGGGATTGGCATCAGAATCACCGGCAATGAGAAGATTAAACCTGACAGAGGTACATCCTATAAGAGTCTAGAGATTTGTTCTCGTTCTTAGCAACGAATAAAAGATGTTCAGCTCTGATACGTCCATAAGTTTATACACTTAAGTTTTGCAGGAAATAGTGGCTTATTTTCAAAATAAGAGAGTTTACCTTAGTTTCAGTCATTACTACTATAAAACAAAGGCTTGAAGTTGATAAACTAGTATTTTTTATCAAAAATAAATGTTTAAAGCTCAATGCAAAAGGTGCAAAATTATTGAATTGAAAATGATCAAATGGGTCACTGACGCTGTTAGAAACCCATGATGAAAAACGATTGATTCAGTTATTAAGGCTGTGAGGTGTTGTCACTTATATGAATGTGCTGTCTGTTAAATACAGGCTCAGGTCTGGAGAAGCCAATTGGAGAGGCTATGCTGCAGATCGACATGCTGCTCGGAAAAGAGCGCAAGATCAACGTCCGTGGTGAGAGTTTAAGCTGCCAAAACATTAAACCCATTTATTAAATTTGATCATGTATGTAAAGCCCCACTCATTCTAAAATGAAGGAGGTAGCAAGGTAATTGCCCTTTCTTAATAAATATATAACGCAATAAAAATAGTAAATTAATGTAAATAAAACAAAAGTGGTGAATGAATGTCAAAGTTATTACCCAATAATAATGTTATGTAACACCATACGTCACACTGCCAGCATATTCCTTGATGACAAAGATTAAAAGGTCAAAATATAATACTGAGAACCTTTATTGCACTCCGCTTAGCCTTCCCGTTATCAGCTGAGAATCTTGATCTCTCTTCCTGGCCAAGGAAACAAGAACTGGATGATAGAAATTGGTTTCAAAGAGAACATTTAGCCATGTTCTCTTTATTGTCCCTGATGTGGCTATACAGCAGAGCTACCACGGCAAAAGGATGGAAAATCTGTGAGCAGAGCCTTTTATCCCCAGCATGGTGGGAACAGCATCACATGTCCCTCTGATGGGTTGAAGAGGTTTGGGGAGCACAGTTTGGAGAGTTTGGATAACACAACATTTTCTTCAGCAAAGTTAAAAGTTATTATCAGGGCTTATGGCATAACACTCCTGAACCTGCCACCTTTGTGACATGACCTTAAAGAGAATATGCGTGCATAGAATAATACTGAATGAATATATATGTATCGATAAATGGATAGATAGATATAGGTAGCATTTCTTCTGTTTAGGTAGTACTTAAGACTCTGCTCTGTTTTTTGTTGCTTATACTCTGTTTTTCTTTCATGTCTGCCCCCATAGTAATTGCTGTGAACGATATGAAGTGGCAAACATCTGGGATGTTTCGGCCATTTGTTGAGGTCTCCATGGTGGGTCCCTTCTTGGCCGACAAAAAGCGCAAGTTCACCACTAAATCAAAGAACAACTGCTGGACAGCAAAGTTCAACGAGACTTTCCAGTTGTGAGTTGGACATCTGAAACGCCTCTATGCACCTGTATTCTATGCATCATATTAGTCATTGATTATGTATTTCTCCTACTGCTCTACAGTATCCTAGGTAAAGAGTCTCCAGATTGCTACGAGCTCCATGTGACAGTGAAGGATTACTGCTTCGGCCGGGCAGACCGGGTGGTCGGCATGGCTGTGGTCCAGCTGCGCGACGTGGCCGACAGGAAGAGCTGTGTGTGCTGGTGTCCTCTTGGGCAGCGAATTCAAACTGACGAGACGGGCATGACGGTGATGCGTATCCTGTCTCAGCGGCCGGCTGATGAGGTGGCAAAAGAGTTTGTGAAGCTGAAGTCTGAGACTCGCCCTGCAGAGGAGGGCAGATGAGCAGAGCTTCAGACTTAGGACTGAATGTTGCTAAAATAGGGTAAATGTTGATGACCCATCTCATGTTTATTTTCGGAAAACAGAGTCAGCATGTCAGTTACTGATCGTATATGTGTGAGTTACTGATTGTTTAAGGCAAAGAGGACATAATACAGCTTACTTTGTATGAGATAAAGAGTTTATTTTGAAGATAATGAAGTTAGGGGACGTTAGACAGTTGATCTGAATAAAATCAATACGATCTTAATCCAAATACAAATATTACATTTGTGTCTGCTAGTTACAGCCAATGTTTTAAGGGGGAAAGAGCAGGCCTGTTTAATAAAGGTAACTACAACTTTAAGGCTTTTAGAGACCTGAGGAAAATCTTGTGTGCCATCAGTACCACCATTTACTCTAGATCTCATCTATAACCACTTAAGGGGTAATCAAAGAAAACTCCTCCTATTTCACTAATTGGTTTCAAGCTTGTTTATTGTGAATCAGAGCTTTCATAACTTGGATCCACCAATTAACACTCCTAGCACCAGATGTGTCTTATATAAAGTAGCTGTTTTAATTATGTTTGCAGAACTGCAGCATATCCCAACAAAAAAGGTCTCTAATCTTTAATAGTAATTACTTTTAAGCATTGATTGGCTGGTGGTAGATGGTGCAAAATCACATTGGAGCATGATGTTGTAGCAAGTTCTCATTTGTGACGCCTTAAACAGGGGACAGTTAGCTGCCAAAGGTAGCTTTTGTTTACTTTTAATGCTTGAGTTTTATGATTGATCAGTCAAGCTTGTGTTAATTTTACTAAACATAAAGCTGTGTTCAATGGTTTTAGTGAGATGGATTTAAAAAACCAAACACACAGGAAGAACCATGTTTTTTTTCTGTATGAGATAGAGGAACAGATATCTTTTTTTCTAACAACATTTAGAGTTTTTGCAAGCTGAAAAAAAATATATATAGATGCTGCAACCATGCAATGCATTTGTTATGGCCTCGCACCTATCATCCATTTCCAGTACCTTACTGGTGTTCCTATAATTAAACCTACAGCATAGACAACACGATAGATCTGTCCTGTTGTGTGCTGACGACGTGCCAAGGTTAGTAAGTGTTCAGTGCGTCACATTCTAAGGTTGATTTCAGACAAATGTGGCCTTTTGCTCTAAAAATCCCATATTTTGCTACTGGCTTTTCAAACGCCACTTAACAACAGCGTTTATTAAACGGAAAACAGTCTGCTTATGTTAAAGACCCTGTTGGGATCTTTCTCATCGGCCATACCTGGAGTGACAGCTGAACACTTGCACTCTTCTTAGAACAAACCTGTAAAAAAATATAAAGGCCTACGAATAGAGCATGTATTTATTGTACACAAAATCCACTAGATTTGTGATTTTTTTTTTAAGTATGTACTGTGAAACTGAGTAAATTTCTGTAATTATAAATATCCTAATGTGACATATGTTGAATATACTTGTAACAATATTTTGTATATAAAATATTTATGAATCAGGACAATGGGGTTCAGTTCTTTTGTTTGTGTTTAGAGGAGATGGACAGATTGATTGGGGCTTCGTCCGCAGTAATGTCAGCTCAGATGTGGTCTGTGGCAGTGAGGAAACAGCTGTGCCAAAAAATCAAAGCTTTTAGATTAAAAGGTCCATCTATTTACAGACTCTCCGCTAGGGTCATGAGATATGAATCACAACCGAAATGAAAAGATCATGGATACAAGCAGCTGATATTATCTTTCTCCAGAAGGATGCTGGAGTTGTGGTGGTGAGCTTCATCATCTAGGGGAAGCTCAGGTACAGGTGCTGGTCATAAAATTAGAATATCATGAAAAAGTAGATTGATTTCAGTAATTCCATTTAAAAAGTGAAACTTGTATATTATATTCATACATTACATACAAACTCATATATTTCAGATGTTTATTTTGTTTAATTTTGATGATTACAAATGACAACAAATGAAAATCTCAAATTCATCATATCAGAAAATTAGAATATTGTGAAAAGGTTCAAAATTGATGGCCCCTGGTGCCACACTCTAATCAGCTAATTAACTCAAACCACCTGCAAAAGCCTTTAAATGGTCTTTCAGTCTAGTTCTATAGGCTACACAATCATGGGGAAGACTGCTGACTTGACAGTTGTCCAAAAGACGACCATCGACACCTTGCACAAGGAGGGCAAGACACAAAAGGTCATCGCTAAAGAGGCTGGCTGTTCACAGAGCTCAGTGTCCAAGCACATTAATAGAGAGGCGAAGGGAAGGAAAAGATGTGGTCGAAAAAAGTGTACAAGCAAGAGAGATAACCGCACCCTGGAGAGGATTGTGAAACAAAACCCATTCAAAAATGTGGGGGAGATTCACAAAGAGTGGACTGCAGCTGGAGTGAGTGCTTCAAGAACCACCACACACAGACGTATGAAAGACATGGGTTTCTGCTGTCGCATTCCTTGTGTCAAGCCACTCTTGAACCACAGACAGCGTCAGAAGCGTCTTGCCTGGGCTAAAGAGAAACAGGACTGGACTGCTGGTGAGTGGTCCAAAGTCATGTTCTCTGATGAAAGTAAATTTTGCATTTCCTTTGGAAATCAAGGTCCCAGAGTCTGGAGGAAAAGAAGAGAGGCACTTCATCCACGTTGCTTGAAGTCCAGTGTAAAGTTTCCACAGTTAGTGATGGTTTGGGGTGCCATGTCATCTGCTGGTGTTGGTCCATTGTGTTTTCTGAGGTCCAGGGTCAACGCAGCCACATACCAGGAAGTTTTAGAGCACTTCATGCTTCCTGCAGCTGACCAACTTTTTGGAGATGCAGATTTCATTTTCCAACAGGACTTGGCACCTGCACACAGTGCCAAAGCTACCAGTACCTGGTTGAAGGACCATGGTATCCCTGTTCTTAATTGGCCAGCAAACTCTCCTGACCTTAACCCCATAGAAAATCTATGGGGTATTGTGAAGAAGAAGATGCAATACACCAGACCCAACAATTCAGAAGAGCTAAAAGCCACTATTAGAGCAACCTGGGCTATCATAACACCTGAGCAGTGCCACAGACTGATCGACTCCATGCCACGCCGCATTGCTGCAGTAATACAGGCCAAAGGAGGCCCAACTAAATACTGAGTGCTGTACATGCTCATACTTTTCATGTTCATACTTTTCAGTTGGCCAACATTTCTATAAATCCTTTGTTTTTATTGGTCTTCAGTAATATTCTAATTTTCTGATATGATGAATTTGAGATTTTCATTTGTTGTCATTTGTAATCATCAAAATTAAACAAAATAAACATCTGAAATATATGAGTTTGTATGTAATGTATGAATATAATATACAAGTTTCACTTTTTAAATGGAATTACTGAAATCAATCTATTTTTTCATGATATTCTAATTTTATTACCAGCACCTGTAGAGCTACTGCTATTCTGCATTTATGATATTTTAAGATATTATAGCTGTGCGTTTAAAAATTTTTTTTTTCTTTTTTCCCCTCAAACTTTCTGGACATCCCATTAATGTATTTACTGCAGGTGTGAATCTTATGTGACTTGGTGGTTGACTCCCCCTAGTGGTGCACTTCTCTGTTTTATGGAGTGAGGTTTCAGCTTTTTTTGAATTGCAAACATATTTATTCCGCTCCAAACAATTTATAGTGATTGCAGCATTTGTTTTGCATTTTTTTTTAATTGAATTAATGTATTTTGGAGTTGCCATCACCCCTATGATTACTTAGCCATCTGCAGATAAATTGCACCCCTGATAGGGGCCATAAAAATTATGTTCTAAGGAATCAAAAGCTAAATAGTTGAACACTGTACTTCATGGTATAGCATGTTACGCACTTCTCCGCAAATTTAAAATCTGTTCCTGTTTAACTAGTTTTTTTGTTTTGTTTGATAAATTACACTTAAATTTAAAACTATTAACTATCACAGAGATTATTCAAGGTGATTTTATTTACAAGCACTGGTATTCAAAAAGTATTTTTTCAACTCAAAAAATAAGTCTTTTGTTGATTGCCACTTAGTATAATTAGATATTTGGGATTGAAAGATACAAGTAAGAATAGAAAATAATTTTGGTAATATATTGTGTATCCTAAGTGACAAATGGTTAAAGACAATTTCAGTTGTCTAAAATTATTGATTTTACTGATTGTTTTAAAGAATAAAATCAAATAATGTACAAATTTTTGAGGGAATGTAGTAAATATTTCCCAGTTTGCAGTAGAAAACTGGAAGGAAATGTAAGGTTAGGCTTGCGCTGAGAATTAAAGGCTACTAAAGTGCAGAATTGGTAATATAGGTCCAAACCTATAGCTCCAAACAGCTTTACATTCATTCATTAACGCACATATTGATGGTAGCCACAGCTACCCTAGGGCACACTGACTGTAGTGAGACAGCTGTACACAGGCCTTCTGACCACCATCAGTATGCAATGCAGATGAAGTGTCTTTACCAAGGACCAGAGGCGTAGCCAGAATTTTTTTATAAGGGTGGCCAGGCAATAACCAATGTACACTGAGGGGTGGCCAAAAGCGGATAGGCACCAGAACCACAGATTTAATCTGTACTGATCCAACAGGAAAACAGCCTTTGCTTACTAATAGACGAATATATTCAAACATCCGTGCTTTTAGATAAAAGTTGTAGTGGGTAGAATTCTTTAAGGTTTGAGTTTTGGGTGAACATCTTTTCCATTGTCATTAATTACCTACTTTTATCAGTAATCATTATGCATAAAATTGATATTTACAAACACTAATATCTACATAAATTGATTATTTAATATGTTTTATTTATCTATTTCACTGAAGACTCCTAGATGACTTACAGAGATGCAGAATTTTCTCTTTACCCCATAAAACACAAAATCTATTTCTGCTTGAATTCTGTACTTATCTTTAATGTTAGTATATGAATGTGTATAATTAGCCATAGTGCTTTTGTTGTCAAGTAATTTTTAATATATGAGAAATTAAAATGTTTCTCAAGGACACAACTATGATGGACATAGCTGGGGTTTGAACCAGTGATCCTCTCGATAAGGTAAAGGTATAGTATTTATCTTCTTTCTTTGTAGCCTTGATCCACTGTATTTTGGGGGACATCAAAACAGACTCTGGATATTGTAAATATGTGACTGGACAAAATAGATCTAGTAAAATGTATCTTTAAAAAGTACAGGAAGGATTATAAGACTTCTGAGTGCTTTTTTTTATGCTGCAGCCTTTTTCATCAGTAGGCTACGATGGATGTTGCACAATATTCATTGTCTGTTTTTTAATAATGATCTGAACAGCTATAAAATATTTGAAATTACTACTTTTTATTGAGCAACTGATGACCTGACCAGTTTAAAAATCGGGAAACAAATGTTATTAAAATACACATCGAAAAAAAATTAAATCAGTAACAGATTAACACTTGTTTTTATCTCCAAAATCAATTATGCAGGTCAAACCATATATAGACAGGGTTTGGAATACATTTAAAAACAGTACAGAAAGAAAAAAAAAAAGACTTTAGTCTGACCCCAGAAAATTACATTCAGTAATTATTTATTGACAAAAACATTGTGAAACAAAAAGATTTGCTTACATCTCGAAAACAGGACTTGGGCTATACTGCTGAGTCAAAACAAAAATTTTAAGACTTAATATGGTTTAGATAAAATATTTTAGTCTTTACATATTCATTGTATTTATTATTTTTAGTGACATGTAAGGAAGAGAAAGTGGTGCCTTTGACTGGGGTACCAGGACTGAAGAATTCAACATCAGCATGATCACATGGTCACAAACTATTTACAACACATCATGTCAATAACATTCAAACAAGATGGAAACATCTTTGCAGTGCTTTTTGTTTTAATAATGTTGAAGCAAGATGCACACTTTTAAACAGATTTTATTACACTACGAGAAATTGATACCAATTTATATATAAATATTGGAAGAAAAATATTTATACTATGCATAAAATGCAGTTTTACTTTATCATCATTCTTCATGAATGTATATTTATCTTCACTTTGAATTAACTTCTTTAATTTAAAACAGTGTCAAAACCTCTAAATGATTTTAAATATATCAAATGAAGAACTAAGTAAGGACATCTAAAATGATTAAGAGCTATTAAATATTTGTTTATATTGGTCTGTCAAATAAAAATTGATATCTAGAAAAAAAAAATCCATGTAAATGTGGCAAGAATAAAAAAAAACAAAAATTATTAAACATATAAAACTATTAATCAAAATAGTTAACGTTTTAAAATAATTCAGAAAAACTTCAGAAATTATTGAATTAAGTCACATCTCTCTCATGCTACTGTCAATTGTGGAATAATTTCTATAACTATAAGTTGGTGTTTATCCAGACCCTAACATCTGATTGGTTAACATACAGTTGAACTACACACCAATCAACTTTTCCTAACCTGTGTTCTCACATCTGTGTTTAGGAATGTTAAATTATTCAATAAATACTGAATAAAATTGGTTTAAACAAAAATATATGATGTGGATTATAAATATATTGCTCTATTTTGCAATAGTTACCACAATAATGATAAAAGTGATGATAAAAATTGACTTTTTTTGGAAATGCACCAATAGCTGGATAATCAGAGCCTCACATACAGAACTACATACAAAAATACAACTTCCCCATCATCAATGAGACTCCTTCAGCACATCAGTAGCATTGAATAGTGCAACCAAACTGCCAAACAACAGGAAATAACAACCATCAGTCATATTTTTTTATGTTGATACCCATTTATGTTTCTATTCATAAGGAGGAAACAGTTGGAAAATTACAGTCATGCTGTCCAAATGTTTCCATTATGAAACTTATCATCACAAAAGTGATGAGTTCTTATGACAACAACTGAATCATTTCAATAATCATGAAACCTTTGAATCACAATCTAAACACACAACGATTTTAGCATCTATTTAGTTATGTATGACTAGTTTATAAAGTATGAAAATGTAGAGACAATGTATTCAATTAGTGTATGCATTTGCAGCTTTATATAAATAGTAATGTTTTTAAATGTTTATCTTATTTATTTAATATGAGCATGTTGCTCTTCTAGCCTTTGATAATAATTAGGGTTGTAGCATTTGTGTTTTTGCACCAAATCATCCAGATGGGTACATGAGTGAAGACAGTATTTACTGCTGGCTACTATCGGTTTTTGTCAGTCACGTGACTGACACGCCCCCTAGCGCCATTTTTGTGGTGAGCGGAAGAAAAACAAAAAAACAGAAAACGAGAGGAGAGCGCTGCATTATAATTGAAATGGAAAAGAACAAGAAAACTGAACGGATACCCTACCCAGACAAACTTTCAAAAGCTGCTCACCCTGAGCAAGATTTTTGCAGTTATTAGCTGCAACAAAAACCAAGTAGATAAAAAAAACATCAACTTCTAAGTCGCACATACTGTAGTTTATAGTATATATATCCAAATTAGTTTTAAATGTAAGCATCTTAATTTTGGATTTAATTTGGAAGTTGACAAATTTGCTTCTCAATAATGTATCCTGCTCACTCGATCAGAACCACTTTATTTTAAGAACACTTTCATTACTTATTTTTTCTGTTTAAAATAGGAGAAGGAAAACCAAGCATTTGAATTATTTTATTTTTTTGGTTGGTCGATGTACAAAACACTCCAAATAGAGTTCTGTACCAGACCCTGACTGTTATAGCCCTATAAACAATTGAAAATGAGTGAGCTAATGCAGATGTGGCTGGGTTTACATCAAGTTTGTCAGGCTGTGCTGATCATAAGCGGCTCAACATCCCTGAACTTAACCAACATCACATTTGTGTCTGGCTGCTGTCGTCATCTTCCGCTTGGCTGCTGGGCTTCCTGTTGTTCCCGTTGCTGTGGCCTTCCCTCTGTGACTGTAACTGGTCAGAGAGCAGCACCTCCACGGTGTAGCTGACTCGTTTTGCCTGGAAGATGCTGTACGTGTTGTCAAACCTCAGCACATCTGGTTTTAGCAGAAAGTGAAGCATTTTATAAAAGAGAAGAGGACTTTATGTTGTGGAGACTTTAAAAAAAACAAAACGGATAAGCTACTCACAAACTCCTGGACGCTCACAGGTCAGAGATCCATCCTCTGGTACTAAGTGAGCGTTATACCGCTGGCTGGGAATTACTTCCTCCATTTCAGATGCCTTCTTCCACTCCCCCTTTTTCGTCTTAAGGAACACCCCGAAACCAATGTCTGCACCTTCACAAGCAAACTGCCACCTTAAAGAATCACAGATAAAACAGATTAATAAAAAATTGTTTTACTGTTATAGAGCCTGATATTATGACACATGCTGGATGAATGCCCAAAGAAAGGAAAGGGAAATAGGATTACAGCTTTCAGCTAATAAATTAGCAGTCTGTAGTCATAGTTTTGTGGTTCACTTAATATACTAAACATTGCATCTGTTTTTGTGTTTTATATTTTATGTGCAACCATGAATGAACCCTGGCCCCCCTCGCCCCACCCTGGCCCCTGGTAAATTTATCCTACAATCACCTCTGCTGTCATCATATCTTAACAACCCCTACTCAACCTTTTTTTTTATGACAAACAGTGCTGTAATATCAGACACTTTGCTGTCGCTGATCAGCGCTATGGCAGCCTTAGATGTGAGCAGCAATGGGAAAATAGTTCCTATAGGTTTCTTTAGCTGATTTCAAATAGTGCAAATTGTAGCTCTGACCTCCTATTTCTTCCCATTTGATGGAGTCAACAGTGAGAGCACTATCATGGATAAGAAAGGAACTTTGTATTACTGCATGAATCTGGACAGCTTTCATCCTTACGGAAGCCATTACATGACAAAAATGTAAATGGAGGATGTTGTTGAAAAGTGGGACAACAGGGTTTAGAAAAAGATCTACAAAAGTTACACAGACAAAGCAAACAGCTCAAGCATTTTGCTTCCTCTTCCTACCTCCTCCCTTACTTCCAGCACTATTCTGACAGCATTTATTAAAGTCACCACTGACGCACTTCTGCTTTGGAATTTGCCCGATTCGGGGATGATCCTCTAAGACCATTCTGGGTGCTCTTAAGTATTTAAAAGTGCAATTTGTCACTGTAATGATACCCCCTGATCAACAGTGGGACTGCAAATTGAGTTTCTTGAAGACAGGTTGCAACTGCTGCTCTGCTTTGTGAAAATCACAACTCAATTCCTTTTTTTAAATAACCAAATGATTTTAGCATCTTCAATTATGAAAAAAATGGGTTTTTATATTTCTAATAATCTAATAATCTTTGATAGTAGCGCACCCTTCTGCATGGAGACTGAAATGGAGAAACAGTTGTAACCCATGGAAGAAAAGGCAGAAGCAGAGCTGACTAAAAAACAAAAAAATCTGAGATCCACATAAACAGCAGTGGAAATTCATGTCCCCTCATTTTCAGAAATCAGATTGATTAAATCCAGGAAATGCATTTTGAGTGATACATCAACTTAATCTCTTGTCAAAACAATAACATTGTCAGAAGTAATCATTCAGCTGGTCTTGCTGCAAAAGGTTGAGCAGTTGGAAATAGTAGTTCCCCATTTTACATGGAAAATATTTATGTTTTCTTGGTTTGCATCAACAAAATGGAAGATTTGTCTTGTATTGCATATAAAACATAGGCCATTCAAACAGAGGTCATTTTAAACGTAGGCTTAATTGTCACACTGACCGGAGGACGCAGCCTGGGAACAAGATCTCATAGTCCAGTTGTTGGGAAGAACCTCGATTGACGGTCACACAGCATTCATAATCCACTTTGATATGATCCCGCACATAGTAGGAAGGAGGTACTGGGCCAACATGGTTGATCTGCATAAGAATCAGAAAAAGTCATAATACAGGTAATAAAAAACTTAAAGCTGAAGGTTAGAAGAAATCGAGGGAAAAGAGGCTTGACTTACGGTGCTGTCACATCTATGACCGCTTGTTATTGTTTTGCTCTTGTGCAAAACCTTCTTAATTAAATATTCAACAGCATATTACATAAAGCACAAAATGATTATCTGTTTTACATCTTTGTTTTTATTTATACACACAAACTTAAACCACAAAAACAGTAAATAATGCAATAAAATAACCTTAAAACTTACTACAACATAAGTACATGACTACAGGAATAAAAAGTGTTGTCTGGATATCACCATAGAGAAAAGGAAATAAAAAAAAAGAATCCCTCAAATGAAGGTTGTACATCTTAAAACACTTTCATGATGTAAGATTTGCACAATTCAAAAAGCTTTAAAAAAAAAAACTTACAAAATAGAGTTCATGGACATAATGATGGTGTTAGTTTTTGATTATCAAAATAAGTAAACATACTTTAATATAAAATAAATAATCACAGTGGATGTGGATAGTTTAGAAAAGATGGATGTAAATAAAAATAACAGAACCAATGCAAAGTTGTTGAAAAATGAATTAAGAGGCAGATATAAGATTGTTCTTCTTTCTGCTTTTTTTTCATGTTAGACCGATTGATTTGGAAATGTGAGTAGGGTTGTATATTTGTATTTTAAAGTATTTTTTTGAATGAAATAAATATGAAATGAACGAATGAATGAGTACTTATTCGCCTGAGCATTTCTTTTATAAAACTAAATAACTTTTAAATAACTTTTTTTAAGTTAAAAATGCCAATTTTGAGGGGGGGGTTCCGCAGTATCTTTAGTGTGGGAGAGATATTTAGCAAACATAATTTCCAATTTGTTGAATACTTCTTTAGTTATTAAAGAAATCTCTCAAGTAATATTCCGCTAATTTCTAAACCAATTTTCCGTACTATAAGCTGCTACTTTCTTCTCATGCTTGAAACCAGGGGTCTTCAACATTTTCCAGGCCAAGGACCCCCAAACTGATGGCAAGATGGAGCGGGGACCCCCTAATTATATATATTGTATGAAATTGTGTTATATCAAACTGGTCCTATAGTCACTCTATCACAGATGTAGTAATGTAACGAAAGTAATTTCTCCCTGAGATTATTAAAGTATTTCTCATTCTGATTCCTGGTTGATGGGACAGGTGTTTGTGGATGAAACGGGCTCCTGTGTGTCGCTAAATGTGTTCATTGATGACTGAAAGACATCTTTTGCCTCCATTATTCTGTTAACTACAGTGTGTTTAATTCATGATAAAGTTTATTTAAAGTGTATTTCAATTAGTGGAAAAAATTTCAGGGGGGGAATAAAAAAAATAAATAAAAAAGTCTAATTAACCAAAACTTTCGCGACCATCATGCAGTACCTCCGTGGATCCCCTAGGGGTCTATTGAAGACCTCTGCTTTAAACCCTGTGGTTTATAAGAAGGTGCTGCTTTTCTGTGGACTTTTCCTAACCGCCAGAGGAAGAAGTCACAGTTGGAAATAAAAGAATAAGGGCCTAACTTTCATTTAGCATGAGAACATGCTAGCAGCTAACCTGACAACAGCCAGATGCATGTCTCGCTCTGCCTAGCTTCACTAGGCGGAGCTAGACATGCATCTGGCTGTTGTCAGGTTAGCTAGCAGCAGCCACGACGGAGAACAAATGTGCTGAATTCACACATTTTTCCATTTATTTGCCTCATTAAAGCTGCCGAAAAGAAAAAAAAAAGACTGGGCTCAACTCAAGACTGGAGAGCTGAAATAAAGAGCTGACAAAGCCCCATCTTTCAAAAAAAGCTCTAACTGCCGTGAGCCAACAAGCTAACAGGAGCTAGATTTCTTCTTAATCCCTACTCCAGAGTATGTAGAGCTCCCCCTGCAGGATTGGTGGGAGACAGTTCAGTAGATGTTCATACTTATAGCCCAGTATGTTTTTTTTTTTTCTGTTTTTTCACACACACACACAAAAAAAAATTGTGGGCGCAGCTTATAGTGAGGTGCGCTCTATAGTTTGCAAAATACATAGGTGGTTTATTATCAAAGCAAATAAACTCTCTTATCCAGCTAGACTCAAAAAACACCAGTACTATCTCTGTCCGTTTTGAAAAAGACGTTTGGATTAGCACTTTTATTTCTGTCCCTTACTTATGCAGTTTAAAATCATTTATTAAATTACTTATTGCTTAAATGAAAAAAAAAAAAAACTTATTAAAAAGAGAGTAGTAAGAGAAAAATGGGCTCAACAATACCCTCTAGATTGTCTGTATTGTATATTAAAAGTCGAAATCCTGTCGCCGTAAACTACAATCCAATTCCACACATGGAAACACAAAATGTTGTCTATTATCATGTAATAACAATGTGAACAGCGGGGACTTCCCAAGCAAGCCAACACATTCCGATACACTGTGAAAACAAAACAATCAGCTAGCTAACTGGAGGAAAAGTTAAAGGAACAAGCAGAGAAAAAGCCCAAAGCATTTGGAGCCAGAGTTAACTTCTAGATTCTTGCATGCAGTCAAAATGAATTTGCCTCCTTGTGTTCTTCATTTGTCCTGGGCCCAATTTTTTATCTGAAGAAACAGTGACAAACACGGGTCAGTTTTCTAATCATCTCCTAGATTGGGACTCCTATAGCAGCTACCATTAGGTTGGCACTACTTTAGGCATGGGCCAGTTACAGTTTGAAAAGTTACTCTTTCCAAAAAGGTTTCTAAATTATTAATTATCACCTAACTTGAATTGCTCCACTATTAATATCAGTCTTTGCTGGACTTTTGTATCTCTGCTTCTTTCTGTTTGTCTGCTTCTGTCTCATTGAACCCCAGTCAACCTCGGCAGATGTTTACCACACTGAGCCTGGTTTTGCAAGAGATTTCTTCCCGTTAAAAGGTAGTTTTCCTCTCCACTGTCGCTACATGCATGGAGATAATTTTTGGTGGGGATGAGGGGGACATGTAATCTGCACTTTTTCAAACGTCCGTTTTGGTCCCCTGCATTTTTTACTGTCCAAAAGCAATATTACGCTACAGTGCACAGACAAGCTGAAGCCCGCCTCCCTGAGTTTAGACCGCCCACAAGCTCCTGACTGGCCCACAGTCTTATCTTGTGTGATTGGCTGTCACCGCTGTCACTCCTCAGAAGCTCACTATACAAACATTTGAGCTGATGGTCAAACATGTTGAAGTTAGTTATATTAAAAATACTTGCGTCCGTTAAAAGGAGGGATGTTTAGTACAATATGTGCCAGCTAGTACCCGCCTTCTATAATATGCTTTCAGCCAATCATAGCATCTAATTGTGACATTTCAGACGTGCACCAGTAATGACAGGTGGGACGTGTTTACTGAAATGTAGACGATTGTTGGATGTTTAGAAAAAGTGCATCTTTTTTCTCAATTTTTAAGCAAGAAATTGTCAGTATTTTAGCTAAAACAAAGTCAATTCCAGTATCTATAGGTGAGGCCCTTCTGACTGTCATCATTCCTACATGTCCCGCCCCCAAAAACATTGCTGTAATGTCATTGGTCCGATTCTCTGGTTGTTACAAGACGGACATATTAGTGGGGGTCTTTCAAGATGGATTTGTTCTGAGACTGAAAACTCAGATCTCATGACAATCCAGCTTGCAGCGCAAGGTTATCTGTCGATGACTTGTGTTGTGATTTGATGCTATATATAAACTGAACTGAATCACAAGTGTTGTATTTTTACTTAAAGTTATATATTGGGAATCATCTACCGGCCCATGCCTGTACTGCATCTGCTACTAATAATCTCTGATCTGCCAGGTTAAGTAATATGGAATGCTTTTGCTTTACCAACAAAGCCAGGCAGGACAGCAGTGGCATGAATTCAAACTGAATAATCCTGTAAAAAAAACATTTAGGAATAGCTTTTACTTTACCTTCCATGTGTGAAATATTATCCAAACATTAACTGACCAAGTATTACAGGAAATCCTGTTAGATTTATCTTCCCTTATGGGATATGACTGTATTCCTGTGTAGGAAAATCAATTTATTGTATTAGCTGCTTGGTCAAGACAGGTAAATCTGGTGGTTAAAAAGCGTCCATAAAAGTAATTTTGCAAGTCAAATGTGAACTCCCTATAACACATGAGCATACTGCATATTAGCCTGACAGTGTTTCACTAAAAGCAAAGCTGCAAGCTGCTATCAAACTACATGAGCAAATTATAAAAACATACAGTAAGATTCAATATTTCAGACAATAAGCAAATATCTAACAGTTCCAGAGAAGCCAATGTTAACTATTTCTGCGTCTACTTTCCTTAAGGGTTATTCCTTTCATCTTTTTAAATCTACTGCGGGGTGAATGGCTGTAGTTGGAATCGGACCTGTATCCAGTAACAACACATTGAGAAACAACAATTTCTCCTATTTTCCGATGCAATATCATACATAACATTGATACATATGACTGTTTGAATATTTTATAGTGCATGCTAAGTTAATGTTTGACAAGGAAGCCTTTTGTAAACATTCCGAGTTGGTATCTTCTCTCTGGGCTTATAAACATCTAAGCTTACAATAAGAAAGTCTGTTCTGCATAAATGAGTCAGCATTCCAGATATTTCTGTAAAAAAATGAGACCGTGCTCCAAACCAAAAAGCAAACCCTTACTGTAACTAATGGGGAGCTTAACCTTCAGTCTATTAAGTGTGCCTTGAGTGGTCAGTTAGAGTAAAAAGACTCAAAATAAGTTTTCTATTTACCGTTTTACTATAATTTACTATAATAAATTCTTTGACTATGCAGACATCCATGGACAAATAAATCTGACTAACGATTTCATGCCTTGTAATTAACGATTAAGATTTTTTTCACATTTTGTATCATATCCCTTCCACAGTCCAATGTGTTTTATGGGGATTTCATGTAACAGAACTACCAAAAGCTCAACATTATTGTGATTTCCCTTTCCTTCGTTACAATTATTTAAAAGTGTAATTTTTCCTTGGCATTGAGGTCTTAATACTGTAATCAAATCCAATGCAACCAGCTGCATTTAAAATTAGCTTATAAACCTTATCTCCATTCAGTATACATTCCTCGGTTATCTGAAGGCCTCAGAAGTCTTTTAGAGAAAATCGAAGAACAGGCGATGGTCAGGGTTGCAGTTGTGGAGAAGTTTTAAAGCAGGTTAGGTTATACAGCAATGTCCCAAACTTTGGAATCATCTAGAAAACTCAGTTATATCCATCATCTGGAGATGGAGAGAGGATAGGAATATTGCAGACAGACCAGGATGTGGCAGTCCTGCTAAAATGATAAAGACTAGGAAGGTTGTCGATTGAAGATACAAATAGTTGCGCACTTTACAAATCTGAGTCTTGCACAAATAAAGCAGATTATTGAGCTGTTGAAAGTAAGCCACTGGAAGTCCCTTAAAAAACTGTCAGAAGTCATACAGGGGACACAGAAAAAAATGTGTAACAAAGTGCTTTGGAGAAAAAGACTCAACATCAATTTTGGTCTCAAAATAAGAGCCAGAAATCGCACAAACTGAAAGAATCTACATATGGATAAATATGCTTTTCGCCAATTCTCATTTTAACTACTAAAGATTGATTCATATAACTAAGGACCGAGTTTAAAAAATGCATTATCTGCTGTCCTTAAGACACCATAACTACCATTACTTTATTAATTTGCTGTTAAATATTAATATATTAATAGAATCTATACATTGCAGAACTGCATCATCTTAAGGAACACCTTGCAACCAATGTCTGCACCTTCACAAGCAAACTGCCACCTTAAATAATCATAGATAAAAAAGATTGCTAGAGATTGCATAATAAAATATTGCTTTCACTGTTATAGATCCTGATATATGACACCAACTGGATGAATGCCCAGAGAAAGGAATGTTGCAGTAATTTTGAATTGGACCATCAGAGCCAATTAGCTTTATTCATGGATTTCACATTTGGGTAACAATTAAAAAATGTTTTCATTCCAGGAATCCAATTTGAGATCGGATCAGAAAGAACGGATTCTAAATCTTGAAAATCTGAGTTGAATCGATTCCTTAAATATGAATTTGATATTCTGCCCTACTTAAAATACATTAAAGCGGCTTTGCAGGTTGTGTCCCTCCTAAAAGATTTCTGCCTTATCTTTCTGCGTGCATGTCTGATTTCATTACAAATTCAATTACAAGTTGTGCAACATGTGACAAAAATTGATTGGATTCATATCAGCTGCATCTATCCCCACTTTCTGCTGTTTTTTTTTTTTTTTAGAAAATCTCTGTGTGCGTTGCAAAATAACTTATGCTCTTCTTATTATTAGTATTATTATTTTTTTGTCTTTTACAGCTGTTTGAACTGCAGAGGAGCAGAGTACACCAGTCAACCAAGGTCAAGATAACTTTACTGGTGTTAATGACGGCTATTTTATTGCAAGTGTGAATAAACATTGGCATTTAATCAAGATAAAAGAGTCACGAGGTAAAATCAAAGGTCCTAAAGGCTTAAATGCTCGAATTCGGAATGTGTTTAATAATAGGTTAGTAAAAAGAAAAGCTAGATTCTGGCAAACATCTCTGCTACACATAATATAGTTTTCCCAAGAAAAAATGGGATTAAGGGTCCTCTTGTTTATGCTTCCAAGGCTCTGAACTAAAAGGCCTAACAATGCTGGAATCTGTGATTTCTTATCGTTTTTATGTTATAGATACTTATCTTACCAACTTATCAGCCATTTCCTGCATGAAATAATCAGCACCAGTAGGTTTGCTGACTCACCCTGTTTCTGCAACGAGGATCGCCGTCAGGATCCGTCATCTTCCCCCCATAAATGGCCGGCAGCTCCTCTGCATCAATGTACTTCAGTAAAACCTCCTGCCAGTTTGCTGAATAAAACAGTAGGGCATGCCAATACAGTTACTGTGCACAAGCTAATAAAGGTGTACTTAACATAAACAAAAATGTTAAGTTTATTAAAATGATATGCATTCATATGAGCAGTGAGACAGAGTAGAAATTGACTGCACAGGAGTTTGACACTAAATCATGTTCTGATTTATGTAATCTGTTATATAAGTCTCTCCATGTGGTTGATCAATTTAACAGCAGTGTTTCTTGCAGCTAATTATAAAATGTTCCATAGATTTCTTATCAGTTATTGCCTCTTAAACCATTGTAATATTATCATTTAGTACATTGCTGTTGCTATGATCTTATTTTGAAATGTGCAGCTCTAAGCAGACGTGTTGATATCTCACCCCCGAGGATGTAGATCTTTTGCCGGGTGATCTCACTCAGAAAATGCTTGACAAGGTTATAGGCCACAGGAAACAGTTTAGGAGCTAAAGGAGGAGACAAAGTAACATAAGAAATATGTTGCAGTTAGAAATATGCACTCAATAAATAAATGTAATTAACTGGGAGACTGTTTGAATACAATCTGGATTTTCAAATTGCCTATGAGGTCATTAAAACATTAATCTCCAAATATGGTATATTTTTGTACATATTTTACAGTTGGATGTTTTTTTTTCAAAAATATGAAAACATAAATTGGGCATATTAAATACATTTTAGCAATTGGAACATTTATTTTATATTTACCCTTTATAACAAATAGCCTCTTCAGCCCCTCTGGGTAGTTATCCTCAAACATCTGCAGGATCTAGTGGGGAAAAGAAGAGCAGAGATGTTAATAAAGCTGTTATTGTAAGAGATTATTTTATGCATCTGATTTAGAGTTATACCTCTCCATATGTTTCTATTGCAGGTTTCCACAAGTGTTTCAGTCCCAGACCTTCAACATCATAGATCATGGTGATTGACTCGATATTCCTGCCCAGCTAAAAAAAAAAGAACAAAAAAAAACTTCAATAATTTGAAGAAATTATTGAATAAAGCTGTAATTTAACATAATCTGGCAACATTTTCATAATCGATAAAGAAAAATTAACACAGAATACATCTCTGTTAACATTATTGATAAGAGTTTGTACCAAAGAGATATGACTTTTTTTTAAACTTGACAGCAGAACATAAAGTGGCTTGCTAAAGTATTTGAACAATAGAGGCATACCCCAAGCAACTTGCTGGTGTAATTGCAGCCAAAGGTGGCGCTACAAAGTATTAACTCAAGGGGGTGATCTTTTTGGACACCCAAATTTTTGTTTTTATTTATTTTGTTTGTTAAAAAAGTTTAAAATATCCAAATAAATTTGTTCCACTTCACAATTGTGCCCAACCTGTTGATTCTTCACAAAAAATAACAATGTTATATTTTATATGTTTGAAGCCTGAAATGTGGTAAAAGGTTGAAAAGTTCAAGGGGGCTGAATACTTTCAGAAGGCACCTAAATAGCAGCCGGTTGTAGCATCAGTAGACATTTACTGTCTGGATAAAAACAGTATTTTAATATAAAAGTGCTTTTTTGGATTTACATCATTTAAGTGTCAAAATGATTTTGCCAAAATGTCCCTTTTTTGGCATCATAGAGAAAATAAAACTGTTAATTGGTGTTCAGCTGATAAAGCAAAACAACAATAAAACAATAAAATGCTTTACCTGAATCATCTTATTTCACATATTTTTCCAGTTAAAATTTGGACAGTAAAAATCACAATCAATCATCATAATTTAGCGACTTAGAGAAGAGCTGCATTCCTGCTGGGTAGGGCTCAGCAGTTATGTCCTTGGCAGGATTAGCACTCTGTACTCAAATATATTATGAAATACAGCTCATTTTCAGTGCTCCCAACTGAATGGTTATGAAGAAAGCTTTCACTCCATGTCTGCCTCTTCGGTTTAGTTTTGTATAATGCAGGCAATGGCGTAGCCAACATCATACCATAGGATAGACACAATGAGTGTTGTATGTAAGAAGATACAATAATTCATCCGTTATTCCTGAAGTTTAACCAAAAGCATGCATCATTTTCTCTCGTTTACTATTGTTCCTCTGTTTATTCTGGCTCCTACACTGGAAAAACGATCTAGAAATAAATTTTGCCAATGGAATGAGTAGTTATACTCTTAAAATAAGATAATTAGATAATATGCACTTGATATAACACATTACTTGAAATAATTTCCTTATTTTAGGTGTAAATGGTCTTGCTCCCTTGGCAAAATGTCTATTTACCTCCTCAATCAAAGAACAAATGCAGTTATTTTAAGAAAAATTGTTTTGATTATTTCCAGTGTAGAGGAGGGAACTTATCTTTAGGTGGTAATTATTACTCATCTTATAGTCTCATGGTAACCTTGGTTAGACCAATACAACTTCTGTCTATCCATACTGTTTGTACAGGGCCTTGGACACATTCTTGCACCAAACATTTAGTGAGATTACAAACACAGACTGTATTTTGTTACTGAAGTGGAATAATAATAATATACATTAGAGTGGGTTAGAAGTAGGTTAGAAAACAAGAAGAATCGTAAAAAATAAATAAATAAATGAATAGACTAGTAGGCCTGCAATATCTGTGGTAGACAGTACAGCAGAGGTAACCAACATGGCCCTCAAGGACCACATTGGGTAAAAGTGAACTAAGGTTGAAGTTTTTTTTTTTATTTAGAGCGCATTTTATCATATCATTAAGCATTTCAATGAAAATATCTAAAAGCAAATTAAAAATGAAAAGAAACAAAAGAAATATGTTTATTAACTATCAAGTTTAGGTGAATGCCGACTCCTACGGCTCATAGGTCAGTATTGGTAGCCTGTCCTATGACTCAGAACCCATGAAGTAGCCCTTAGCCTTAGAAAGGTTGGTAACCCCTGCTGTAAAGTCTAGCCTATAGGGAAGATGACTAAAAGAAAGATTGTTGAAATTCTTTACAAGTCTAACTAATTTTATGATGAGATGATACAATTGGCTAATATCCCAAAGCTGGGATATACAATTCCTCCATGTGGGTCTTCCCAGGGATCTCCTCCTGGTGGGACGTTCCCAGGAGGCATCCCAGTCAGAAGCCTCCTGGGGACGTAAGCCATTCTTCCTAAAACTACACAACACCTAAAACCCAACATCCCAGTTAAACTTTGTAATAACAGCAAATGCAGGACGGGCCAAGGAAGCTACTCAGAGTTGATATAGAGATGGATGGAAGTAAAAACACCCCAAAGCTGCTGAAAACTGCCAGACTGGGGCAGAGGTTCACCATCCTTCTAAATGCACCAAAATGGTAGAAAAAACACAAAAGGTTTTCTACATTCCTCTAACAGCTGCTAATCTGTCTTGATCAAATCAAAAGTTAGTAAAAAAAAAACCAACAACATTAAATTCTGATTGTGTCTACATTTTATCAGTTTCTGTATTTTTTCATATTAAAAGATTGTGGATGAGAAAACATTTCCGCCAAACGTTTGCCCCAGCCCACACTGCAAAAAAAAGGAATCTAAATAAGTAATTTTTCTTAAAATGAGTGCATTTCTTTGTGAATTGAGGAGATAAGTGAGACACTTTGCCGATGGAATAAGACAACTAATATTTAAAGTAAGAAAAAACAAATGCATTGTCTTATTTCCAATGCATAATATTTAATTATCTTATTCTAAAAGTAAAAACACTCAGTCTATTAGCAAATAATCATATTTACCTGCTCAAATTAAGGGTAAATAAATCTAATTTAAGAAATTCTGACTTATTTCTAGATCTTTTTTTTTTTTAGTGCAGGTCCACACTGCCCCACTTACTCTCTCTGACTGGAGGTTACATTCCTTCTGCAGCATCTCACAGTCTCTGATCTTGGACTTAATGAAGTCCTGCTTGGAAGCGGACAGGAAGAGACCTTTGGGATCCACGGGTCCAATCACGTCGTACCAAACAGGGCTCCCCTCACGGTCATATCCACACATCCCTCCTGAGAGATACTTCTCTATCACCTACAAGGGGAAGCCATTCCTATTAATCCAAAGTTGTTGTTTTTTTGAGTATCTTGTTCTCATAGTTGTTTTTTGATTTACCTCTGGTGGGCACCAGTCAGTGGTTATCGTGTCTACTTTCATGTGTTTCCTGAACTCCAGATGCTGAAAGGGAAGATTTGTGTTTAGTTGAGACATAACGTTAGGGCGGAGGATGTTAAGGTGTTCGGTATCCTGGTGGAGGCCGATTAACTGTTAATGATGCAACCGTTAATCTTAACCTGCCATAAGTACTTGTTTAATCTTGGCTGCGTCTTATCTCCCTCAGATTCTTCTGATGACTCAGTCTGCCCTCTGCGAACCTTCACCCCTGCTACTCCTCTATAATCTACAGCCACACCTGCACTGATGTATTAAACAGTCTGAGCTAGAGCCAAGTGCACCTCCATACATGCCTTTCATTAAAAGAAATCCCATCCAGCTGTACTTAGCTCCTTAGATAATATTTACTCGTGTGATTGCCTGCAGCTGTGAGCTCATTTATAAGGCCTGCCTGCACAGGTTAGGTCTGTTACCTTTCGCAGCATTGCCTCAGACTTCTGAACATTGAAGTTTCGCGCTGAAAAAGAAGAGGCAGTTATTAATTCAAGCAGATGTTATTGATTTAAAAGGTGTTAATACATCAGATTAGCAAAAGAAGTTAAATTTACTTTAAAAAGTAAATTCAACAGATAATTGCTACCAGAAAACATTTTTTTTTTCTCAGATTTCCTATATAATCTAGAAAAAGCATAAAATGTTTCCAGCTTCTATTTTCTATTGACAATTAAAACAAGGCAAACATTTTTAAGACTTTATTTGTTCTGTTGTCATACATGGTAACCTATCAATCATACACTTGTTGATATTTATCCACATGCCATCTGTTTTTTCCTAACATGTGCCTTTACTTTGTTTATCTATTATAGTTTTAACTTCTATTTAACACTTCCATTTAATTTAAACGTCTTCCTTTCTCTTATCCTGTCTATCTATTTGTCTCCTTCCTCCTGGGGCTTCTCAGACTTCCTGTGGTTCGTCATTCATTTTATTAAACTTTCTCTAATTTGTTTATTAAATTCTTAAATGTCTTCCTTCCTTCCTTCCTTCCTTCCTTCCTTCCTTCCTTCCTTCCTTCCTTCCTTCCTTCCTTCCTTCCTTCCTTCCTTCCTTCCTTCCTTCCTTCCTTCCTTCCTCCCTCCCTCCGGCCCAGCCGTAAATACAAAGAATTAGTTTTTTCTTATAATGAATGTAAGAGAACTAAGTCCAAAAAAAAATGTGAAAATTGTTTAGCTGCCACAATTGTGCACTTCCTTTTCAGTCCAAAACATAAAACTACAGAAAGTGGTTCAAGATTTAAGCGGTACAAACCCATCTGCAACCAACTGCTCTGCTTTCCTAACACAAAATAAGGAGACCCAATTAAATCTTTAAAAAACAATGTAAATAGATGAGTGTACATGATTCTAGACATGAGCACTTACGCTTGACTGTAGACACTGTTTCAATTGATCCTACCAGATCCACGCTGTGTTACTTTCAGCCTGTGTCTTTGATGTCAATACTAATGCTTCTATAACCAGCAATCACTCGTGCTATAATTTACCAAACTCAGTAACTGAAAATATATAAACACTGATTAGTCCCCAACAAGTGACAGAATAACACTCATTATCTTCTAATCATGGCACCTGCTGGTGGGTGGAATATATTAGGCAGAGAGTGAACCTTTTGTCCTAAAATCTAATGCAAGAAGAAGGGGAAATGAATGAGCATGGATGAGTCTCTAGAGCAGGATGTAAACAACTGTAAAATTGTTGTTATGGTGTTGGAAATGTGTATCTTGAGTTGCTGAAGCAGTGAATACTGGTTCTGATAGAAGAGCATCAGAACTTACAGTGCATCACAGTTTGCATGGCTGCAGACCAGGCAGGGTGCAGAGACCTGTCCATCAGAGCTGGACCACAGAGCAATGTGGATCTGCTCTGGTGATTCATGTTTTGTATTAAATAAACAGCGATGCATGTGGTTCGCTAACCTGTGGAGAACATGGCACCGGGATGCATTATGGAAAAAACAAAAGCTTGCTAGGGCCACAACATGAAATGTTCTACTGGATCCTGTCATCCTACCTACCGAGACGTTGCAAATTAGAATCTCTGAACAAATGGAGAAAACATTTTCACTAATTGCATCTTACAGAATCTGAAATAGGAGTAGAATAATTCAGGCCAGGTTTATTCTGAGGTGTTCCAAATAGAAAAAGAGAACTGAGAATCTTCATCTTACAGATAAATATTTCAAAAACTTTGCTGTACGATTTATAAATAACTATTTTACAACACTGTTACAAAATTTAGCGGCTGAGCTGAGGGGACAGTTGGCTGTCTAATACTTTCTATAAGCTGATTAACTCTGCAGCTGACAGACTGGCAGCATGGCAGTGCTGTGGCTATGACGTGAAATAAACAGTTTATTCTGGCCCTGGATTATGCTCCATTCACCGTTCCACCTTTGCACATCAATGTCACCGGAACAGAGCCTCGAAACTGAAAAGTCAAGGTGTTAACTCAGCTATTCTTTAGTCTTAATCATATAACAAGCATTGAGCTCACCGTTAGAAACAGCACAAATTTATTAAAGAGAGAGTTGATTTGTTCTGACATTTTCCAATAAAAATATTAAGGCTTTCATAAGGTTATACTAAAGTCCTTAATGTTGCTAATATATGGTGCAAAATTTTTCCGCTTATCTAATGAATCAAAAACTATTTTGTACAAATTTTACGGTCCATGAAAGGGAGAAGTAAACTTCCAGTATCAGCTAAATGTGACTGAGTGGACAGTGGAGGTGCTCAAAAGAGGAACCGCTCTTTATTGAACTGCTGACACAGATGTATGAAGATGATTACAGAGTCAACTGGTGTTTCACCAGCTGTTTATCTATGAAGGAGGAGTTTTTGAAAAATAAATGTCAAGTTATTATATACAGCTAAGGAAAAAACAAGGTTGGTTAAGTGCTATAAAACAGCTACCTTTTGACCACGTTTAAACTCTAAAACAACCCAGGTGGGGGTTTTTTCTAAGGTTAACCTCAGAAGAGAAGCAAAGAGGTTAATTTATTCCTTACATAACTAAAAGGATGGTAAACTACTTAAAAGAGAACATTTACCTATCAAAGAACTAAAGAAACATGCCTGTCTACCATTTAAAGTCACACAGATGCATGGGGCGTCATGCATCTGTAGATAGTGAAATGATCCAATCTTTGGTAAAACTAGAAGCCCGTAGTCGACTGTAAAACAAGCCCTAACCATTACCCTCACACCACAATACAAGATCTGCTAGGTTTTCTCTATTCAGTATGTGATGTAACTCATCCAAGCTAGCTATACCTGATCATGGGAATATGTTGACTGCAGCTATTAAACACATTACTGGCATAATACACTTGTCCCTGATAAACAGTGGGCAGCTGAATTTAGAAGCAGCTGAAAAACAGTGAAGGAGAGACTGGTCAATCCTCGCTACAGAGGAAGCTGCAAGATAGAAAAGATAAAAGCATGAAGAACCATTTTAAAGAGATCATGACAAAGATAGAACTTAACTTTACTCATTAGCCTCAGATGATTAAAAACTGGACTGGATCGCTTTTACAGACCCATCTGTCAAATTTGAAATTATGACAATAAAACACCCAGAATAGCTACTAATATGACAAGATGATGAATCAAAATCCTGCCAGAATGTAATAATCTCTTTTTTTTTTTCATTTAAGCAGATGACATTCAGCATTACACATTATTTAAAATACTGTAAACAATCAGGCATTAGTCTACCTTCTCATTAGTTAGTGAAAATATGACCATAAATCACCTACAGTTTACAGACACAGCTTTGCCTGCTTCCAGTAATCTACAGGATTGTTTTAAGGTACTTAAAGGGCTGGCTCTTCCCTATCTGCTTCATTATTAGACACCAACCCTGAGATTCCGGTGCCATTAAATAGGCAAGGCAAGGCAAGTTTATTTGTAAAGCACATTTCATGTACAGAACAATTCAAAGTGCTTTACATAAAACATTATAAGCAAAAGGGAAGGAAAACAATTAAAAACAATTAAAAGCGTGATTCAAAATTAAAAACATTTAAGAAAAAAAAGAGAGAATACAGAGACGGGCGAATTTTAACTTTTGAATAAAATCTACGTAAATGCAGCTGAGAACAGGTGGGTCTTCAGCCTGGATTTAAATAAACTAAGTGTTTCAGCTAATCTGAGACTAAATATGGATGTTAACTTTTCTTTGCAACATATCCGCATTTGTTGCAACATATCCGCATTTGTTGAGACATTCAAGCAGGAAAATCCATACATCACTGTAGGGAAATTGTTATGGCAGCAAGAAAAAGGTTATTAAAGTTAGCATATTTAGCCTGGTAATGTAAGGTTAACCGAATCCACTGTTATGAGCTATAATGGAAAGACAATTGGCGTGTATTTGGACAAAAAAAATAAAAATAAAAAATAAAAAACAGAAAGGGTATGATTCTCTCTGAAAAGGGTATGATTAAAGTGCCACACAGTTTAACTGACCAAAACCATTTTTATATGTTGTCTTGTTTTTTTTTCTTTTCGGTGGCCAAAAATCAAAACATCCAGAAAAATCAATGGTCTATCTGGCATTTTTCTGAAGTTATAAGGTGAATATTTTGAGTTTTGTAACTAAAAACCTTATAAAAGTAAGAATCTTAAAACAATTTTAATGTCAGCAGCTGTTTCTGATTTTATTTAAAGAAAACAGGCAGGATCATATCAACAGCATAGGCTAGGTTAAATCATAATCAAAGTGAACCAGCACCAGCAGATGACATGAAGCTTCAAATCATTACAGACTATGAAAGCATGAAACTTAACTTCAGTCAACATGGATTCTCTCCGAATCCTCTCATGTTCTGGCTCTGGGAACTTGACGCCTTAATGCTACTTAGCAACAACCATCCCTTCTCTTTAGTAGGACACATCTGCTGTGGTTCAGGAAATGCTTCACAAAAAATTCCCATAAAATGTGTCCTGCATGTGCCTGCATGGTGCCATCTCCCAAAAGCCTTGAAAATACTTACTTTGTAAGTGGACCAGTGGTAAATCAGCAGTCTATGAATTAGTGGAACATTGCATGGCCATAACTTACTATTTCTCTATTAAAAATAACTTCATTAGTTTTACATGTCTAATCTTCTTGAAAACTGCATTCAGATGTCCCAGGCTGAGCACTACATGCGGTATTCCTGGTATCTTTGTGGAATTTTAACCAAATCTTGTCACAAATATTTTATCAAGCACAAGGAATTTGTATAAAGTTAAAGAAAAAAAAGTGAAAAATGTTTCTCCTTTAGGCCTTTGATTGTGCTATGTGGTTAAACTTCAAATTATTGAATTATTAGTCAGAATAAGGACATCAAATCTTATTTTAAAGCTACTTAAATGGTAAATTGTGGTAAACTTTCTATTCATGCAAGGGTAACAGAACTTTAACTGTTTGGGGCATTCATCACAGTAAACAAAGCTTTATTGTTTGTGTTTGAAGCTGGAACACTTAGGTTCCCAAAGGCAAAAATTGACATTTCATAACTGGTACATTCATTTAGTAAAGCTTAATTAGGAGAACAAAGAACCCTCAATGCTGCCAGAGTTCTTGGTAGGAAACTATTTCTTAATATCTTCAAAATCCTGGTCATTTAAACCCAGCAGAGCACTAGAAACAGCAGCAGTATCCTGCAGCTATTGTACTCTCTTAATGCGATTAACTCTGGATTAGATTGATAAACAGACTGTTGGAGCTCTGCTGCTGAATTGATCAGAGCAGGACTGGTCCCATTTCCTCTCATACATAGAATAAACCACAGGAAAATTAGACACTATAGTTCATTTAGCAGTCGCTTCAGCATCAAGTTCTGCAAAATCTCTTTAAGTGTGTGTGTTGCATCACGTCGTTTTAAGTGGTAAACCCCTACAGCTTCTGCTTAAAGCTAAAATGTGATGACACAGATTTATTTTACGGTACGGGAACGGTTCCCGAGAACAAAAGCAAATATCCAACCACAGAACAGAGGGAAATCTTACTTAAATAAGTTTCATTTAACAAAAAAAAAGGGAAGAGTTGTGTATAAACGTACCTCGGAGCCAGCGTAACAGGAAGTGGTCATGCTGTGCTGGGAGTTGAGGAAGAATGTCTTGTATCTTCGATCGAAACTAAACCAGAGAAAACCAGAAGCCCACATAAGTTCAGCCCGAAAGTTTAAGCGAAAATTCTGGGGTTACAGTTACTTTTTTAGACCTTACTTGTCTTTTTTTTTTTTTTTGCTTTAATTTGCACTGTACTTTACAAACTCCCCAGTTTCATATTACATATACACATGTTTTACTGAAGCAGGAAAGCAGAGGGGCCCTTATGTTATCATGTTTCCAACAACACCTTTCAACCGCCAATAATATCACCATAAAAACACCATTTTCAGCTATGTTAAATGGTTCATTAAAATTAACTCATAGTGGAAATATACAATAATTATCATAAAATTTAAATTATTTCCAATTATTCTATTTACTTATATATTAGTTCAAACTGTTAACAGTTGAGGAGCCCAAATGGGGTTTTTTTTTTTTTAATCTCTTATCATTAGGGTGTCTTGTTTGCTTTTTAAGTGTTCAAAAAGTTTAATACGGTTTATTTTATAAATAAAACAGAGAGCAAATGCCTTTAAAAATTCTTTATGAAAGAGTTTTGTTTGTTTGGTATTTCTAAATGTTTTCTTTTGGCTGCTATATCCCCTTTAATCTCTGATTATGTCTTTTATCTTTGATTATTGTGTGTTATAACACAAACAGATAACTTATTACAAATCAAAAATATGCAAAGATTAAACAGAAATCAGAATCTATGATTCACCAACCTCCCTAAATGATGGATTATTTTAGTTCCTAGAAACCAGCCAACGTAAACATAAATCCATCAGTTTAACTCCACTAATTCCATGTTAGGTCATGGAGGTTCCAGGCTTAGATAGAAGAGCCAGATGTTTTCTTTTTAATCTAACATTTTCCAGGTTGCTTTCTAGCTGGACGGTTTTATCCTAACTTGGCACTTAATTATTACCACCTGTATAATTGCTTAATTAATACAGAAATTCCTATGGCATGATTTGAATTGTTTCAGTCCTTTAGATGAGGTGAAAACAAATAGCTGAGGTTGAAACTGAAAATCAGAATGAGTGGAAAATAAAACTTAGAAGCATGATACAAGATACTGCTAATCCACTGTGGTTTTAAACCACAACTGCCTGTCAGGTTTACAAGGAATTTTCAAAAAACTGTATAAATATCCAATGATAAGCAACTTTGAGAATGAAAATACACTTTAAAGACACAGGAAGAGGTGAATCAGTTGACTGGTTTGAGATGATAGAAAAGCAACAGTAGCTTCAACAATGATGGCAGCAAAGGTGTGCAGAAAACCAGCATCAGCATAAACCTTAAATTAGAGGGCAGAGGGCAGCAGAAGGCCAAGCCGATGCTGCGGTCCAAGCTCACCAGAACTGGAATTTCAACTACAAATATCAGATTATAACTTTTGGCAAAAACAGTGTATCTATGTTACACTTTTTCTAACTTTGCAACCAATTGACAACTACATTGTCCTTCCCTTTGTGACTAAAGTGTACTGTTTCTACTTCCAGCAGGATAATGCTCTGAGCTATAAAGCTCAAATAACATCAAACGGGTTCCTTCAACATGACAATGAGTTCACTGCAATAGAAAAGGTCTAAATAGTCATCAGACCCTAACCACAGAAGCACCTAAGGGCTGTGGTGTCACGGTAGATTTCTATCATGACTGCAACAAATAAAAGATATGCATCTGAGCAGAACCTCTACAGAAAGCAAAGTAAGTAAAGCATAGACATTACTCTTCAAATGTCTGTTTTTTTTTTTTTTTTTCAGGACTGGCCTTTTGGGCTGAGTCTGCCATTGAAGTTTGAACACTGGCTGAACTGATAAAGTCCATCACACACGTACCTCCACTAACCTGTAACAAAGGTCTGACAGGTGTTGCTACATGCTGCAGCTCTATCGTGTATCTATAGTCTCCATTAGAAAAGCTTCATTCAGAAAACCTCAAGATTATAATAAGTTAAGAATGTTAAATGGTTTTAGAGCAGTTTGTTATAAAGTACTTTATTTCCCTTTTTTTTTTTTTTTCCGGCTCTTAGAACGAGTCTTCAGTTTTCCTCTTTTGTCAAACCAAAACAACAAAACTCCATGTTTTCTTCAGGATAGACCAAAATGAAGGTTTGACTTCTTGTCAGGTGGAAGAAGACTGCCATGTTTATTCAAATTGATTTGTACAAAAAAATGGAAAGTTGTGTCCAGCCCCCTTTACTCTGACACCTCTAAATGCAATCCAGTAACAAACAACAGGTTGTGGAGAAAGGTATGGAGACAGTAAAAGCTGGGTTGGGTTATATAACAGTATCATATCCTTTGATCGGGCTCTGTTTAATCTAAAATCTGAAAATGAAAACAGAATGTCACAACTGCAAGAGCCAAACTGATGCAGCCGGCACAGAGTGCATCAGAGCAAGGAGCAGCCAACACCAAAGGTAGCTTTGGAGGAGCTGCAGGGATGGACTGCTGGGGTGGGAAATCCTTCAATTAATTTACTTTTGGTTCACTCCTAAAATCTGGCCTCCATTGATGGGTAATTAAGGAGAAAGTGACTACTTTACAAAAACAGTAACAAAAAAAATCCTCCATTGAAGTATGCATTTTTGTATATCCTTTTTTATATCATATTCTGTATATTGGCACAGCGTTCACATGTGAAAACACGGTAGAGGCAGCATCATACTTGATACTTTTCTAGCAGGACAGGGTAATGTGAGCCTTTGGTTTTTAGGTTTTAGGTTTCTGTACTTAAACACATCTGATTTGGATGATTCCGGTTCAGCTAAAGCTTGTAATCTGCTATCAGTTGAAATCTTCTAATGGATTTGTCAAAGTCTAGATAAATATCTGATGGGGAATCTGTAGCTGGACAGTGATTGTCCCACCTTCCCATCTTTCTCCTCCAAGGTCGAATCCTCTACCAGAGGCCTGCAAGCTTGAGGGTTCTGCTCAGTATCTTTGCTGATGTCTGATGTATTTCCAGGGATCTGCTGTAACCATTCCACCAGTTTGGGGGTCACAACCCGAGGGCCCCAATGAACACGGGTACCACTGATGCCTTGACCATCCATGTTTTCTCCAGCTCTTTTCTAAGCCCCTGGTATTGCTCTAGTTTTTCATATTCTTTTTTTCCCTAATGTTGTAGTCACTTAGTATTGCCATGTCAACCACAACGGCTTTCCTCCGGTTGGTTTGCCATTACCCTTCGGTCCGTCTTAATCTGTAAGTCCCACAGGATCTTTGCCTGATCATTCGCTACCATCTTTGGAGGTGTATCCAACTTTGACCTTGGGGTTTCCATTCCATACTCTGCAGAGATGTTCCTGTACACTATTTCAGCCACTTGGTTATGGTGCTACATGTAAGCTTTCCCCGCCAGCATATATATATATATATATATATATATATATATATATATATATATATATATATATATATATATATATATATATATATATATATATAATTTCTTTCATTTCTAGCCATGCTCACTGGCATGGCTAGAAATGAAATAAATTATATGCATGTCCCAAACACATTGCAGCTGTGATTGAATACCACATCTATCTTTTCCCTTCCTAGAAAAACATTTTCAATAAGCAAAATTGTTAAAATGAGTTTTGGATTCTGACAAAATGAGACAAGAAATGAATCTAATCCACAAACTGCTCTCACATATGAGTCTCTGATCGGATGTTGTAATTAAAACCCTTCCTTTCCCCCCTTTTTTTTCTACAATGGCTGCCTAATAGCCGATGCATTCTGCGATGTCATCCTATTATAAAGCCTTCCTTTCTGGAAACCGGAATGATGAAAACAATTAGAACTCTGTAAAACTAAGAGCACAACAGTGCATCTGTGCAGGTAAGCTTTCCCATTAGACCACCTGAATGTTATTAATTAAAACAAGCAAGTAATTAAAACATATATGTAAACATTATGAGTTTCTTATAGTTTTTTTTTATTATTATTATTTCTAATAAAACTTACTTGTTCCAGCGCCTCAGTCTGCTTAGGACTGAGATCTCCAACTCTTCCGCTCATGTCTGAGACCTAAAGCTGCCTGACAGACAGACAGGCTGCGCTTCTTCACTCAAATCCACCAACACACGCAGTTCACCAGCAGCAGGCAGGCAACGCTTCCTGATGCTCATGTGAGGCTATAGATTCCTGTTAACTCCCGCTGACCGCGGCCTGCAGATAGAAAATAAAGCAACAGAGGAGGAAAAAATGTAAACACCGCTCTGTCAGACGCTCATAGCCCGCTGCAGGACCGCTTCAACTGTCTGACTCTGCCAAAGATCTGCGAGAGGACAGGAGGAGTCACTCCGCACTGGAAGGAGGATCCGCCTCTATGGGGGTCTAAACGTGAAAAAAACTCTTATTTAGGTCAACATGTAATACGCTTTTAAAAATAATTATATTCTTTTGTGCACGTCATCGTGACAAAACGCTAAGGCAAAACAAATCAGACAGAAAGTAAAAACTGTAGGGTACAAATTAAAGATTCTGACCTCATTAAAGAGAGAACTTTAAAAATCGAGTGACTAGCTTCCTAAACCTGCCATGAAGATTTTGCTCAAACTAAATGATTAACAAAGCTAAATCTATAACCTCTATTGGGCACTAATTATAGTTTTTACTTTGGTGTAAAATGAAAAATGATATTAATCAGACCTGAGTAGCAAGACTTTGAGTGAGCCATTGAAAAGTTCTGATAAAGTAAGTCTTCAAACATTGCCTTTTATGTAAAAGCTTATTGCCTCTGTTTTGACTTCTGTTTTTAATCTTAATAACTGCATTTAAATTTACTAAGGGTCCAAGGAAATAGTAAATCAGAAGGATCCTACTTTCCTTTAAAGAATCCCAAAATGCCTGAGGGGGTAAATAGCATCTGAAGCTTTTGTTTTCCTGTTTACACTTTTTTTTTTTCAATCGTTTCATTCATCCTGATGTAATTTTACTATTTATTTAAACCCACCACTCCCACATTGAAATATAATTTTTCAATGACAAAATAAAAACAAACAAAAATAACTGAAGTTTCTACAGCTTAACACCAAACATGTATTTATCTATGTATATTAATTTATATTTATTTATTTGATCCTTTTTAAGCAGTTTTTTTTCGTTAAATGAACTGGGGCTTTAAAACCAAGAAGGAAAAGTATTCAGATTACTATCTTTATTTTACATTTCTCTTTGACGTTAAACGCGTCATCGCCATCAATTTTATTATGAAAACACGTTTCGCAACAAACAAACAAAAAGATTTTTTTATTTTAAAGACATTTTTTATATATATAGAAACATTCGCTTTAAATGGGTATGTACATTTTTTTATATAAACCATTTTTTCTACAAACCTGCCGTTGATCTCTGGTAATCTGTTACACAAGATAATAACCCTCCCCTCTTTCGTTTGCAGCCGGAAGTTTCAAATTTTTCCTGTTTACATCAGAAGCCTGCGATCGGCTACAGGATTACTGACATAATGCCTGATAGCTGATGAGTTTCATACATTAATCGTTGCTTCCTGCTGTTTTTTGGGGGGGGAGTTGCCATGGTTTCGGTTTGCCGGTGTTGTCTTTGGTTGCCTTCACAGCTTCTCCTCCTCCTCCTGCTGCTGCTGCGGTGGCCCGGGCTGCTGGTGGCCGCAGATCAGCTTGCTTTGGTGGAGGTTTTCCTGGAGCAGCAGCCCGCTGCAAGCGCCCTTCTCCGGGGGGAGGTGGTGGAGTCCGGCAGAGGCAGCAGGAGCTCAGAAAGCCGAAACGAGGAGCTGGAAGGGAACCTGGTGTTGGTGAGACTTCCTGTCATTTTTTATATTTTTATTTGGATGACACATCCTTAGATCTGCAAGTGCATCTAACCAGGGTACACAGATTAATCGTTTTCCTTATTATTACCATTTGTTTTTATTTGTCATATATAATAATTGCGTTTTTCTCCTGTGGAATTGGTAATATAGTACATGTAAATAAACAAGCAATTAATACAAGCAAGGCTCAATAAATTCAGGATGTCTATAAGTTGCTTTTATAACTAAGAGAAGTTCATATATCAATTCATCAGAAAGGGTAGTTAAGTTTTATGATTAATACCAACTCATTTCAATTCAGTTTATTTATATAAATCACAAAAATGTCATCTCAAGGCACTATACAGAGTCAATTCAAGCAGGTCATACAGTAAGACTGGTACAAAGCTTCATTGACTCAAAAGCACACCTCACACCAAGCATGCTTGTAGCGACAGTGGAAAGGAAAAACTCCCTTTTAAAAGGAAGAAACCTCCAGCAGAATCAGGCTCAGCGTGAGCTGCCATCTGCAGAGGCCGATTGGGGTTCAAGGAGACAGAAGCAGACATAGAGAAAGAAGCAGAGATACAAAAGACAAATTTCAACCAGTTCTGCTGGCGGCCCCGTCCAGGTAAATACACAGCCAGGCAGACGAGCTTCAAGCTAGCTCCCACGTCAGAGGATGAAAGAGATCCCATACAGTTAGTCACAGTCAGAGAAACTGGACTGCAATGAAAAACAGGCCAAACCCCAACATGGCAGCAGCACAGCTGATATTTTTCTCCAGGATGGAGTCACAGCCAAACAGGAACAGACAAGATGAAGCTACTATGAGAAAAAGGAGATAGTGCATAATTTTAGAGGTTGAACTAACAAATACTGCAGAGTGGGAGAATAGAGATGGAACAAAGCAGAATGATGAGAAAGGGTTCCCTATGTCATCCAGCAGTCTAAGCCAATAGCAGCATAACTATAGAGATAGCTAAAGATAATCTGAGGACTCTAACTATAAGCTTTATCAAAAAGGAAAGTTGTAAGCCTTGCCTTAAAAGTAGACAGGTTGTCTGCCTCACAGACTAAAACTGGTAGTTGGTTCCACGGGAGAGGAGCCTGATAACTAAAAGATCTGCCTCCCATTCTACTTTTACTAATTCTATGGACCACTAGTAAACCTGCAGATTGAGAGCGAAGTGCTCTGTCAGGCAAATAAGGGACAATTATATCTCTGATATAAGATGGAGCTTGGCCATTTGAGGCTTTATATGTAATAAGTAGGATTTTAAATTCTATTCTGGATTTAACAGGAAGCCAATGAAGAGAAGCCAGGATAGGAGAGATATGATCTCTCTTTTTCATTTTCATAAAAACTCTGGCTGCAGCCCTTTGGATCAATTGCTCATGGAAACCGAAATGTAGGTTCTCCACTATTAGAATGTTACCAAAGACCAATAAAAGGCTAAGATACTTCTTATACTGTCCCTTATTTAGGAGTGGCTAAAAAATAAATAAATAAAAAGCATGTAAAAGATTTAGTTCAAGTCTTTGATAGGTCTGTTCATATTTACTTGTCTACCACACTTTTTCCTTCCACTAAACTTTCCGTAAACAAGCTAGGATCAAGCATTCTGCGAAGATTCTGAAGCGATTTCTTTAAAAGTGTATATTGATGGGGAGAACATGAAAAATAGAAAGTAAAAAAAAACTCCTTAGAGCAAGTCCTTAGAGTGAAACAGAATTATGGATGAGATTCACAATGAGGTTTTCCATATTTTTTTTATATTTTTTTAAATAAGAAGTTTACGTTGACTTAAAGGTAGAACACGCAGAGCTTTTTGCATTTATAAGGTGTATTTTTTAATAATTTGAAGCAAAGGAAATCTCAATCAGCTGTGTTGTGGTGCAGGTTTTTAGCTTTGTTGCCTTGCAGTCCAGTTAGGAGACTTTCTTTTTGGAGTTTGGATGGTATCTCAGTGCATGCATTGGTTCTCTCTGGTTATTCCAGCTTCCTCTCAAAGTCCAAAAAACCCAACTTTGGTTCAGTGCATTAGACAGCCTTTGATATGATGCGCCAGCCCTGCAGGGGTTAAAGCAGGTTTTTAGAAAATGGAACCATACAAAGTCTCAGCATTGTTGGAATTTTTTTCAAGCAGGACAGATACCAAAATTGTGTGGGTTTTTGTCTCAAGGTTCGAGATGATGAGACGCAGCAAAGCAGCGGAGGAGGAGATGAGGACAACAGCAACCAGCAGGAGCCTTGGATCGGGGTTGTACCCATGGAGATGGATGACAGCAAAGCCTCCACTGGGAACCAGGAGTCGTTTGCAGATGCAGTGGTCAATAAGGTAGGAATTAAATTCAAGAAAAGTTTGGTTTGGCTCTTTGCCTTATTTTTACCTCCTAAACGCAAGAAAGTGGCTAAAAACAAAAGTGCTGCAGATAAATCAAAACCATAAACACACACAATAAAAAACTATTCAACCAAACAAGGTCAAACTAGGTCTCACTGCGGTTTAACACCAGACAAAACAGAAAACCAAGTTTGTACAGCTCACTTAAAACAAGGTTAGTTCAAACCTGGAAATTTCTTTCTCACAAAAAAAAACTGAAGTTATTTTTCTACATACCGGTAGTGGTTGTTTCACCTTCTCTCCCTTGCAGCAATCCACTGGCATAAGTCTGAAAAAATGTCCCTTACCTCTAGTGAACCATGTCTCAGTGACACAAAGAAAAATTTGGAGGGTGAGGAAATCCACGATAATTTACCAGAAGAGCTGGTTCTTGATTCCAGCTCAGTGGTGTCAGATTCTGAGGTAAATGCTCTCATAAATCATCCATTTGATGGCCGGTAACCATGCGTCAGCAGGAAGTTCAGTCTCACTATCCATCTACTTCCTTTATCATGTCCCGGGGGGATGCCGTAGTGAGTTAGACTTCCTGAAAGAAGCTCATGCACATTTAAGTCTGTCATGATAAAATACCATTAGTTTATAGCAAGATGTTTAGAGATAATAAACCAGGAAAACATGCATTTATCTTATGACCAGATTCAGAACCAGCATCAACAAAAACAGATGAGCAGCTGCACACATTGACACCATCTCCTTTTTAAGCTTTAATCACAGTTGTTACTCCGCATGGAGTTTTAGAGGATTGTTTACTTTTTACCGGATCTGTTAAAATCTTTTTTTTGTTTTTTTTTGCACAAGATGAAGCGAGCTTTGGTCCTTGGAGCATCAGCACTGATCATCTTGGCTCTCAACCAGAACACAGTCAGCGAGGTAAAAAAAAAACCTTAGGAACCCCTAACCAATTATCCCAACTTTAGTTCTGACTTCCTCTGATGTTTTCGTTTCTACTTTTTGCAGCTTCCTTCGTCCTGCATGTTTGTTTCGGATTCGTTTCAGTTGAAATATTTTTAAAATCGGACTCTTTGTGTTCTAGATGGATTTGTCTCAGGTTCTCTCCAAGCCCATCATAGTGATCCAGACATCGGAAAATGTCACCAAGCTGATTGGAGCTCTGCTAAGGTACAGAAAAGTCTCTTTATTACAGAAACGGCCCGGTTCAATTTGCCTCAGTCCTGCATATCTGTCATGTTTTTAAATAAAAGTGTCTTAAAAAAAATATAATGACCCTTGGACTTTACAACACCAGCTTTGCAAAGGTAGAAACTAACATTTTTGCCAGATTATCTTTTGAAAACATTTCATCTTTAATCTAAATGGAAAGATAAAAGTCTGTGAAGATCAGTTTTCAAGTCTTACCAGATTTTTATTTAGTTGTCTGGCCTGGACTTTGATTGGGCCACTTTACTACATTAAGGTGATTTGTTCTAAACGTTTCCTTTGTTGCTATATCTGCACATTTGTGGGGATTGTCCTGCCAGAAACATAGAGCTTGGTTCTCTACCAAAATTCTACTTTCCAACAACTCTGACCAGCTGTTGCATCCCCACAGTATAATACAGCTGCTACCATGCCTCACCACAGCAGCCGTGTAATGATGCAAGATGTTGTTCAGTTATCTAACAGTGTTCCTTGGTCCTACTGATGCTGTCTGCTCTTAAATGTTTTCTAAAAATAAAATACTGAGGCCTTTACAGAACAGGTGGAATCGGTGGACTAATCAGCTGCCTTTTAAAGACAGTTTTTTGTATAAAATTTATTTTAGGGCTTCGGAGTAAAGACTTTTGGATAAAGATCCATCTCACACCATTTAGTATTCTTGCTAAATGCTTCTTCCTCTTACACAGAGTGTGATCGCTCCTTATGGTCGTATGTGGTGAGAATTAAGATTTTTTTATGCTTAAGAAGCCAAACCTTAGAAATGCAAAGAGTTGTATTTATGCTCTTTGTTTGGTTTTGGCACAATCCCATTGTAGAAAACTGAAACGAGACACAAATTTATCTGTTAATCCTGCTAAATGAGTTTTTTCATTCTGCAACCCCCCATCAGGCCAAGAAGGGTTCCTTAAATTTGGACTAGAATAAATCGGCTTAAAAAAAAAAAAAAAAAAGCACATTCAGAACCCTGTAGCGGGTACAGGGTTCTTGCACTACTAAACGCGTGCAAGAGCATGCACAAGCCCATTTCTCCTTGTGTACGCTCTGTTTAAAAGTTGCTGTTTGCATCACTCATATAGACTCACCACAGAAAATGGGGACGAGCACGTAGGACGGCCCTACATAAACATATCACCAGAATGATTGACAACGGGGGAGGACCACTTATTTTGATGATCCACCCGGAAAAAGAACATCCTCCACTATACTTTTAATATCCATTAAATAGTCACATGCGTCGCCAATGCTTCCTGTCTCCATTCACACCTGTAGTATGACCAACAAGGATTCATTTATTATTATTGTTCTAATTGCAGGGGTCTACGGGCGACGGCAAAAATCACATATGAGACGATCCTACAGGACAACTTGGTGAGCCTCAGCCTCCTGGCTGACTGTGTTTCTCAGTTCTTGGCTTGGCACCCTCTAGTGGTGAGTGAACAGATCACGGGCTGATGCTGTGTGTTCTGGCAGGGAGCCACGCTCACCCTGTGGTCCAGCTGCGGCCGATCGAGGGGAGGTGTGTACGGAGAGTGGCAGGGGGTCATCTGCACGGGAGAGACCAACTCTCAGGTCCAGGTGGGGAGGAGGGACAAACACAAACATCTCCTGCTTTCATTTCCATAACAACGGTGGTCTGATTCACAGTCTGAGGGTGGTTCAGGGAACCTGGGTATCTCTATGTGAAACAGGACAGAGGATTTGTTTGCAAATATGAGAAGAATGTTTCAGATGTTCTTCGTTTTTGTTTTTTCTTGTGGGTTCCAGAAGTACTTGCAGCAGCTGTGGGACACCGTCCTCCTGGTGGCTCTGATCCTCTGTACCGGAGTCATTGTCCAGGCTCGCTGGCAGTATCAGGTCAACCAGCTGAACGACAACTCAGAGGTACTCGCATTTAATCTGGTTACATCCTTGCTCCATGGTTCCTCTACTGTTTGGCTGCAGACTGAGGTGAATTAGGCAGAATAGTTCGAGTGGTTGGAACAACACTGACCCATTTTCACTGCTTAACTCCTCAATTGATTATTATTAATATTTTGAAGGTTGAAGCTCAGTTAACGTGATGGAAGAACATAAATACACAAAGGCCTGTGGTGTTTACAAGATGTCTGGGGATATTAAAGTTCCTTCCAGTCTATCCTGTTGTGCAGTACTGGCAGAATACCTTGGAGGTCCCCAGCTTGTATGAACTACGACTACGAAGGATTTGGCTAAATTGGCATTATGGGATTTGATGCTAATAGTCTGCCAGTTTTATTTCAGCTGATAATTAACATGCCTTGTTTAAAAGAAATCTAAATAAAAGCTCCCAATCAAACCTTTGAGGCTGTTTAAAAATTTTTAACATTGAATTTATTATTTTTAGTGTATTGGTCTGTGTTCAGATATAGTTCCTCTGTAATGTAATGTTTGTATATTAAATGTGATTTAGTTTTTTCTTCTGCTGTTTTTGCCTACAGCTTCTTCCCAAGCAGGACATTCTGAAGAAAATGTCGTCTCTGAAAACCAAAACATACCGTCGGCCCAAACCCTGGTGCGACCCGGCCCAGCAGACAGAGGCGGAGAACTGTGCCGTCTGCCTGGAGCCGTTCAACAACAACCAGGTGAGTTGCTGTTGGTATCCAGGTGTCCTTGTCTACTTTCAGATCAATTACATGTTTTACTGCTGTTTTATTGTATTTTACGACCCTAGTGTCTGCGGGTGCTGCCGTGTCTACATGAGTACCACAGGGATTGCATCGACCCCTGGCTGCTACTGCAGCACACCTGCCCTCTGTGCAAACGCAGCATCCTCAGTGAGCTCCCGCCGCTTCCCAGTTAGTCAGCAGTCTTATCCGTTTCTTTGCTTTAAAAGTTTTTTTCCCCCTCCTCTCCAACTGTCTCCAGACAGCGTCTGCAGAGACAGTTAACGGCCGTTTCACCTCCTGCATACGCTCCAAACTGACCTCATCCTAACTCTTCCTCCTTCCGGCTCCGCAGCCTGGCAGCAGATCCAACCTTAAAGCAGCAGCTGATCGGCCTCATCCAAGCTGGCGGTAGAAAAGCCGTGTCATGAAGTAGTGTGATGATACTGTTGTGCTCTCCCTGGGAATGTCTGTTACTTTAAAAACGTGGGGATTATTTCCAGAAGTGATCATGTGAGTCGTTTCAGTCCAGACTGGTGAACATTTAATGTGTACAAACAGAAAACCTTTGTGTGTTTATTGGCTTCATGGACAGACTGTTGCTGTTCTCCTTAGCTCCTAAACGGACGTTAACACCTGGGCGATCAGGGTGACCCAGTTGGCTGCTTTGATTCTGTTATCACCTTGACTTTGTGTGCTTTTTATTTCCCTTCCATACTTTAAAATGAGCACTTCTGTTCAGATGTTTACATACATCATGGAACGTCTTTCTTCCAGAGTGAAAAGATTAACTTACTGATATTGCTTAAACATACTGGAACAAGTCACTAATTTTGGGCTAAATCTCCCATAAAAAGATTGTGCAGTCAGCAAGTTTAAGAAAAAATTACAGAAATTGATTGGTTTCCTAATCCATCTTCCAAAGAGTCTAAAAGAATTCTAATTTTTCACATATATGCTCAGTGTTGGCCTGATTAATTCTGTGCGGAAGCAGTTTTGATAGGACCTGTGCCCAATAGAAGAAACTAATTATTTCTAGGTTAAAACAATATGAGACAAACTGTCCCAATCAGTTATTTGGAACCTGATCAGGGTGATCTGGAAAGACTAAGAACGAGAGGAGAACTCTAGTGTCACCACCAACGATGAAGCACATCTCAGTTTCCACCTGGAAAATAGCCACCTTAAAACAAACTGTTCAAGATGAGATTAAATTCTTTCTAATAAGCTATTTTCAATCAACCTCAAGATGAAAGGTTCAGGACATAAGCTTCACCTCAACAATAAATGTGAAAGGAGGAGCTGGTGGATGGGTTTCCAACCTGTGAGAACTGTAGCAACTTTGAAGCATGGTGGGGGTCACGTCATGCTATGGTACTTTCTTGCTCTTGGTGGTCCTCTTGCATTGCAAAAGGTTGGTGGATTGAAAAAGAAACACCTTTAAATTCATCTCTAATCATCAGCTAGATAATCTTGGCTGACACATGAAGACAGCTTCCAGGAAGCAGGCTCGGTAATACTTTAATGATGGGTGAAGTTTGTTTGAAAGTCCAGTTAATGGCATGAAGCTTGTTTACGGCTCAAAAAAAAATAAAAAATACAGACCAAGTGTGACCTGCTATACATTTATCCAAACTTTCCTTTGGGTTCTACTATCTCAGCCTTTCTGAACAGCATAATTTTGACCCCATTTGGATTATAACATACAAAATATTTCTATCTGGTTGTCTGCTCATTCCACTCTGGAAAAAAAAAAAAGGCCCAAATAAGTTAGTATGGACTGTTAGTGGTGTTGGTAACAGTTACTTCTGGATGGACTAATGTTGGATGGAGGGAACACAGACCATAAGATGTGAAACAGAGTTCTCCTTTTTGTTGAGATGAAAGACATGCGGTCAATCGCTGCCTGACAGCCTTCAACCACTACTTATTTAATATTAAATTGTAATTCTTAAAAATTAACATATTTTTATATTTATTCTTTTAACTTTGACATTTTCACGTATTTTATCACTGATCAAATGCTTAACAACCTAAGGAGGGATTTTAGCAGCAGGAAAAAGAATTTGCTTTCTCTGAGGTAAATTTTTAGAAGAATAAACTGACAGGTAAATAGGCGTTTTAAGACCACTAAGGTGACGCTGTAGGCAGAAAATCTGCATCTTAATACGATATGCAGTTTACCTTTAAAATCTGTTATTTGGAACTATGTAGAGTAGATAACAGCATCATTGTGCAACACAGCATAAGCGCTGGGATGAAGCTGAAAAGGCTCTGAAAATTAGCCCAAAAATGTCCAAAAGCAATTGGGAAGAAAAAATTACAATCCCTATGGGTCTGTATTGTTAACTGCTTTTACATAGATTCAAAAAGAATTTAAAATATTTAAAAAAAATTATGTTAAGAAGCTGAAACATCAGTTAAAATCCAAAGAATTTGAAAAGTTTTTAAGGAGTGTCAGTGTCTGAACGCATCACTTCAGGCTGAAGATTCTTGCTCATCACTGTAAACTTTAGGAGTTAAAGTCTGTGCAGTAAGGAGACATTGATATAGTTATGCACGCCCCCTGTTGGTGATATTTATATGCAGATATTTGCCAGATATTTGACCAAATATCCACTTAAATTAAAAGCGCTAATAATCAGTCCAGGGAGGTTTCTGCTCCCTGAACAGTGGAATACAGAGGTTCTTCATCTGTTCACTGCTTACAGTCTTCCTAAAAGCTGCATTTTAACCAGGCAGGCACTTTATGCTTGATGGGATCAATGTGTTTCATGCAGGGTGGTATAATTTAGCAGGGTCTGATTTGTCCAAAGTTTAGCAGGACTCTAAACTCTGATTTCACCTGCTGTAGAAGAATTCACTACAAAGACTTTTTTTTTTTAATACATGCCTTGTTTCACAAACGAGTCAAACTAGAAGGATGTCAAAACCACTGCATTATTTATTATCTGCTTTTTTTTGTTTGCCATGTCAGTTGCAAAATAGTAATAATTTGCTGTGTTACAAAATCCTCTGACAGATAGATGGGCTCGCTATATATAAAAAAATATGTGCATGGCAATATGATGCAGGATCTCCTCCGTATTCCAGCCTGTGCTTCCAGTGAGACCATTGTGGAACAGACTCCTGTCAGCGAGCAGAACCGGAGGGCACACCGACATGTTACACGCTAACCAGGTTCAGCTCATATCCACACATGATCGTTTGGTTAATGTTCTTCCAGATGAAGAGAAAGCTGCTGTCTCTTCATCCCCTCTATGTCTATTTGTTAATATCTTTGGATGGTAATAATAAACATTTGTTACTTGGCAAAATAAAGGTCTCATTTTTTGTGATCAGTCGGTGGTTCACATTTAGAACATATCCGTGAACGAAATCAAAATCAAGTTTCAGTGCTCAACTAAATCAGGTGAGTTTGTTGCCAAATATTTCTACAAGCTGCTTGGCAGCTTTAACGTAAAGTAAAGCTAAAACTGTTATAAGATGGTGTGAAAATAAAATGAAACCTCTTGAGAACTACCAAACACCTGGGGTGACTTCCACAGCTTCTTCAGGGCTGATCGGCACCAACATCAAACCAGAACCAAGTCGGTCAGTCGGACCTCCTCTGGTTCTCAGTCTTTCCACCAGGACCTTCACTCAGGTCAGGAGGGAATCATGCCTTTGTTCCTCTTTCGGTCTGCCATGCTGCGCCGGTTGTGGTTGCCCACTCGGTTTTTATTGGCCTCCTTTTTACGTCGGTCCAAGAAGGTCTCCAGAGTTTGTCCTTGTCCTTTGGGTCGGCCCATGACATTACTGGGACGCTCTGGGTGATAACTGGAAGATAAGGGAGGAACCAGGGATTTTATCTTTTTGGTCTTAAACTGTCACTAAGCTCTGAAAGGCCCAAGCCCAGAATCGCCCAGACGTAATCCAAAAAGAAGGTTATATTAATACAGGAAAGATTTACCCTTTCTTCTGCTGCATGGCAGCTCGTCTAGCCTCCGCCCTCTCCCTCAGCAGAGCCGGGTCCTGCACAAACTGGTCCCGGTTCACATTGTTCTGCAACACAAAGATACAACAAACGATGGAAGTTTCTACCTGCTAAGGGGCAGATGGACCATTTTAAACAGTTCTATTTAATAATCTGTTTAATTTCAGGGATTTCATGAACTATGAAGATCAATCAAAAATTATCTAATCTCACCTCTTTAGTGAGAAAGTTGTTAAGGAACATAATTTGTTCTTCGCAATGGTGGTTGCTAAACAAGCAACCTGTGGCTTAATGGACCTTCTTAATAGCTCTTCATAACTTAATCCAAAGATAGAATAAATATATCTCCATCTTCTTTTTGCAAAGTTTTTGTTTTTTATTGAGAAACTAAATTACAACAGTGGTCCTTTAGCAATGAACACAAATCTCCTATAGAGGATATTTATCAAATATAAGTAAGCTTTTTTGCAGAAGTGTCTCAATAGTGTTTATTCAGCTGGACGGAGGGTTTAAATGGCTCTTTGGATTATTAAGGGATTGAGATGGTTTTCTATAAACTTAAATATATCTATTATTTAAAGCTGTAGCATTTTAAGGTAGAAACTACAGTAAAATAATAATCCTCACCGTTTACCTACTTCATATCATAGATCAGGATTATATAATCGAATTAAAGCATTTCTTACATTATTTTAACAAAATAAACCAACAAATTATGTCTTTTGACATATAGAAAGTATTTGTTGGGTTCTAGCTCTATACAGACATGGATATTTAAGCCTACATTTTTTTTTTTTTTTTTAAGGATCATTATTTTTAAGCATAACAAATACCACAAAATTATTAGAAGGCATCATTTTCAACCTACACCCTCTTGTTCAAATACGCTTCAGTCACAGCCAATCTCTTTTAAAATGCTTACATGAGTTTTTTTAATTGCTAAAACGACACAATTTGCTTAAAGATTCACCTGAACTGAAATCTACACATTTTACATCAATATCCAACAGTTGCTTTAAATCCTGGTTATTTGTAGGTTATTAAATGAGGGGATTTGGTGCACTTCTTTAAGGAGGGATCAGGGCATAAGTACCTGTGAAACATCGTCATCATCATCTTCGTCCTGTTCCTGCTCCTCAACCTCTGCTTTGGTTCCTTTTCTCAGTACCTGGGGGATCGTAAAAGGCCTGAAGGAAAAGAGTGATCAAACATTCACTATATTTTTCCTTCCGTTTCAGGACGTTCCAGCAGGAAACGTATATACACTCAGTTTGGACATTAATGTTATCATCCTCATCTACAAAGAGACGAAATGAAAACAACTTCTAAAATATATTCCAACAGCTCTACTAATTTCCCCATCACAAGTTGCAGAATAAACAATTTGACCACTCTGCCATTGTTTTCAACGGGTTGTTCCAAGCACGGCTCTGTTTTTTTCCCCTTGTCTTCAGATTTAAAACGAGTCTGGAAACAAAGGCTAAATATGCTTGAAAGAGTTTATTTGATACCTTCAAAGCCAGAATCAATGTGTTAACTGTCAGACATAACGGTGGCAGCATGATGTTTTGGGACAATTTATTGTCCTTAATTTGAAGAATCCCATCAAAATAAGGATAACTTGGAAACATTTAATTCTTCTAACAGGAATGTTATCCAACAATGGATTCTGGACAAGTAGGCTTTCAAGGTCATGAAAACAACAAAACCTAGAGTGAAATGTCGGCATGCCTTGTGGTTAATGCAATGACTGATTTTTGGTCAAATTCTTCATCCCTACAGTTGAATCAGAGCTTTTAAATAAAGAGTAAAGCTGCATAGAATAGGTGGATGTCAAGATATAAGAGCATACCTTCTGTTCAGTAAACTGTCTCCATCCAGATCGTTTGCTCCAACTTGGTTCATGTCGTAGGTGTCGTCGTACTCGTCATCATAATCGTCCAAGTCGTAGGCGACGGCACCGGACTCTCCCGGTTCGATGACAACTTCGTCCACCACGGTCTCATAAGTCCGATAACGATCTCGCTGCTCCGCTATGTGCTGCTTGTCGTTCAGCATCTCTCGAGCATTCTCACCTTTCCTGTAAGATAAGCAAAAAAAATAAAGGAAAGAAAAAAAAGCTGGTTTGATCCTCTGTGCTCCTCAGATTAAAGAGCAACAGCACACAGAATAGAAGCTTCTTTTAAGAGCTTCTTTTTTATTTTTTACCTCCTGCCCTTCCAGATGCGGGACATGTCGACCTGATCCCTGCGGAAGACGTCAAACTCGTCGTCGTCAAACACGTTGGATCGGTTGTTCAGAAGAGCTGGAAGCTCCTCTTTCACCGGCCTATAAATGTAGAGAGCTACATTTCAAACACAAAGATGGTCTACATGCTTTGTCTTTAATCATCCCTTATTTCTTTTCTATGTCACTTTTGATTCCCCAAATTTCTTGTACGAATTTCAAATGGCCATGACCAACCAATCATCCTAAGGATCCTCAAAGCTGCTCTTTGAGTTTTTCAGCTCTTTTAAAATACAGATATATTTTTTAATAAGCTTAGAAATCCAACAGAACCTCATAGCTGACACCACAATACAGTTACTCAGCAATAGCTGAAGCATCTATCAAAATTTTGTTTGGCTGCTGCCTC